TCACAAGTGGAGATGAAGACGAAACTAAAGACATCATGTGTGAGTTGGGTTTTTGTATCATAATTATGTGATTGAGTGTATGCGCGTGATTTCACATCATTCTAGTATAGTATCAGGTTAATGTACAGTACTAGAAATAGATGTGAACTGTGTTGACGTGTCGATTTGGCACACTTTTCATTGACTTAGTAAGGGGTAACACCAGCTGCTACTAATTATATTGGCTACAACTAGGGAGACTTATCTTCCTATTTGAACTACGTTCCTGCTACTTCAAGTATTTAATTTGTTGTTTCGAAGTAGGATATTTCGCATTGTAAGGAAGGAGAATTACGGTTGTGAGAACTGTTGAAGTACGTAAATCATGGACGATTGTGACTGGTTTTCTGAGGACAGTGTGGACTTTGATGCACTCTCACCACTGCCTCCATTAGTGATATGGACAAGCAGAAGGGCAGTCACGTGTCCTCCACCGCCAACTGCTCCATCTTATAGTACACCTTACTCAGCTCTTCACCGCGTATACCCCAATAGCGGTTATCAAGTAGCCACATCAGAAGTCTCCTCTTTCCATTATTCTCTTCAGAGTACCTCTTTCTGCCCGTGGAGTACAGAAACATCTACCTCCGGTGTCCTTCAAGACCATCCACCCATGGACTTGGTGTCAGAAATCTCCAGCGACCCTCGACGAGAAATCCAGAGGAGCAAGGATACAAAGCTCATTGATGCTTCAACCACAGCTGTCGAAAACCCAAGTTTGGATCACTTGACATCGGCAGGGGAGAAGGAGCAAATTTCACAAGATGAAAGTAGCGCAACTGTTAACGGGTATCCCGAACCCGTTTCAGATCACTCCACAGGCTACGAGGAAGTAGCGTTCCACACTGGATACCGCAATTACTCCAGCAAATCTGCCGATATGAACGTTCACACCGGGCTTGTACCCATTTTCGGCAGTTTTCCAGTATCTTCTCCAGTGGCTAGCTTACCTGAGGATCCCAAAAATCTCGTTCATGACGGGATCAACAATCGTCATGCCACTGAGCTAGTCCAGGACGTAGTTTGTCAAATTCAAGCTGACCTTCTAAATCCAGACAATACACTCTGTGACGAAACCGGAAAGGCACTTGATCGCCAGCCCGATAGGCTCGATCGTGGACATTCATATCTTGGAGAAACAACGTATAAATGTAAGCATTGCGATACATCATTTTCTACTCAGTCTTGTCTAACTTCTCATGAATGTACACATCCAGAAGAGGAATCGTTCAAGTGTAAAGTGTGTGATAAAGATTTCACTACGCGATCTCATCTTACCCGTCATGTACGACTGCACTCAGGAGACAAATTGTTTTCGTGCACGTACTGCGCAAAGCGGTTCAGTAGCAAATACGATCTACTTGTTCATAAACGTATCCATACCGGGGAGAAGCCATACAAGTGTAACTTGTGTGACAAGTCATTCACGACGAAATCACATCTCACAGAGCATCAACGCATCCATTCGTGTGAGAAACCATACAACTGTAAGGTATGTGACAAAGCATTCCGGCATATATCCACTCTCGTATGTCATCAACGAATCCATACTGGGGAGAAACCATTTTGGTGTAAGGAATGCGGAAAGTCTTTCACCAACAATTCCGACCTAAAACGTCATGAGCGGATCCATCCCTGAGAGAACCTGATCAATTGTCAGCGATCGTGACAAGTCTTTCAATGTGCAAAACAACATGGAATACCATGCAAATACAAACCCAGTAAACAGAAAGATTCTTTTAAAGATTATGGAAAATGTTACTGATAGGCCCGTTTTGAACCACAAGTAGCGTAAATGTCGTTTACAATCCAATCCGATATCAAAAAGGTCACTGTTTACATGCTAACTTCAACATGTGCAACATCCAAAACCTTATCATTATCATTGTATTCGAGTTGTTATGTACTGTTTCATTCCTTGTTTTCCATTTTTGTTCTACCATAGACGGAACTTTTTTCTATATTTGCCATTCATTAAAAGGCTCAATTGCGCTACACATGTCTGTATGATTTTTTTGACAAATCAGTCCTGCTATATATCGCTTATCCTACTTCTGGGGCACGCATGCCTGGTACGGATCTTTTCGCTTCAAGAGGCGCTGTGCTGTTTTCAAGTTCGCACATGCTGATAAAATATGATGCATGTATGTAGCAATGATCCCAAGTGTCATCTTGTTAAGTAACGTTCTACTTCTTATCAAAACTCTTCGAATACTATCTCACTGTCCATTTGTTGGATGAAAATGTGTCAACGGGGAAATTTGACTGTCAATAAAAAATAAAAGTAAATTATCGTGTCCGTTCCCGAAGGGAACTCACGACAGCCGCTAACACCCGATAAACCCTAGCGGCAGTACCAGAAATCAAACCTCGAAAACCAGAACTGATTATGACCAGCAATTCCTTTCTTTTCCCACATTTTGTTGAGGATGAATGTTGTATCAAGCAATGCACTAACACTACCATAATGGGTAGCGGTCATCATAGTAGCAGACTAGTAGCTACCGTTCAACATTTTCTTCTGACTTCGAAACTCTCGCTTCCTGTGATTTCAAGGTTCGCAGCCCTGACTTGAACACACACACACTTCCCACACAACGTAGCACGCGTTGCGGCCCAACAAACAAAGCATTCATTCCTTTGAGAACAAGGTGCAAAAAGGAACGCTCTGAAAAAAATATTGACTGTCATCAACAGCACTCGAACCGTTTCTTATGGCCTACGATACTCTTTGTGATATCTGAGTACGTAACACATATATCTTACTCCACTGCATCAGACCAGTGTGAGGTTGACAAGATGACTACTATAGTCACATTTAGGATGCACAGCCAGTGTGCTGGATATGCTAACAACAACGGAGGCAGAGAGTACTGTCAAACCGGAAAGTCTAACGAACAAAAAGTTTTAGGTTTTTGTAATTTTGGCATGATTACGTGCAGAACGATTAACTATGGCTACCTGGCCACACATCTGTATGCGAATCTTTACACAGACATGTAGTTATCTAGCGATAAGGATGACGTTTTTTCAAAGAACGAAACAATTGGTCGTTAAAACGTTAGATGTTGTAACTCGTTAAACTTTCCGGTTTTACAGTGTTTGTTTATGCTTACCATATCGGGATAAAGCCAGGTCGTCGCAAATCAGGGTTTCTCGTTCTAGAACGAGTACTAATAATTACAGTGCAATCATAAGGTAACCAAAATGGGCATTATAACAAACATGTGGCAAGGAACTAGACTTTTTCCATCTCTGCACTCGAAAAAAATGTGAGCTTGTACGAATCAAGAAAGACAGGAAATGGTATATTTCCACGAGGAGCTGATCTTCCCCTCTGTATGATTGGGTGTATTGCATTCCCTGCAAGGACGCTGTTATTGACTGCAATTGGAGTAATAGCGCTGCGTCTGTGCTTAATCTATTTATATCTCGTTACTTTAACTGCAATATTTTTAGGATTGTGTTTGCTACAACACTGGAGCTCGCGCTATTCCGCCGACTTGACTTGACACTTGATTGACTGACGATTCACATCCAGAGCTCACGAGAAGTCCATCGAACCTTCGACTCGGCAAACCTGTAAGACAGCACCACTCCCTGCTCAATACACAGTGTTTCGGGGAATTCACACCTCATCAGTTGAGCATGAGAAGGCTGAGGAAGATTGTGCCTGAAGAGCACCACTTACAAAGTTCTCTCAGCTCCAGGCACAAACATCACCAGGGATACAAACTTACAGAGACGCTCCGTTTTGAGTGCGATAAATACCTCGTGAACACCAGATAGCAGCGTGAGTTATTGTGGCTCCTGGACGTTGATAACAGACGTAGACCATCCGTCACTCACAACGCTGTCACCTCCAAACCAGCTAGTCGCAAGCCCGCTCTGTACGAAAACGTGATGCTATCTGGTGTTCACGAGGTGTTTGTCGCGCTGCAAATGGAGCCTCTCCTTATCATCACTGCCTTCAACTCATTATTTATTAAGGACTGGGACTTGTGGAGTTTGCTTAAAAAACTATACCATTGAGGGCACCAAGGAAATTACATGAGGTGTGGTTTCACTGTTTTGTTTGCCCTGCCACGCTTACACCTTTGTCCTTTCACAGCTTTAAGGGGCCGTCCAAGGTTACCAATAGTATTTTCAAAACGAAAATTTTTCGTTTGGGGGTGTGTGGATTTGAGTGAGTTTCATTTTGAAAATATGTAATGAATGCAGATTGAGAATGCCCAGTTACTTCTGGGTGTCGAAACTTGACATCAATAAATAATAAAATAAAATAAATTTCACGGTTCGCGTGAGACTCAGCTGGAAGCCGAGTTTTCCGCATCCGCTGTGAGAACGCCACCACCCTCTAGGATCAAGGCGCAGTTGTATTTTGTTGTAATTCGTTTTACCTGCAGAAAGGGTAGGTGGATGGGTGCTGAGAACTACTAAAGCTTTCTGGTATTTCTGCCATTTTCCAGTATCTTCTCCAGTGGCTACCTTACCTGAGGATCCCAAAAACTATTGATAACCCCGGACGGCCCCTAACGTGATGATAGTAGAAGAATGTTACATGCACATCAGTGGTAAGTGCTCAGATAAATATTGTAGACCATGTCACATAATCCAAAACCTACCTATGACATCTCACACGATGCGAGAGAGCGTCCATGAAACCAATAATAATTACCTAGAAACAAAGAGTCTCAAATTTCACTATCTCAAGTCTGGTGTTGAAGAGTCAGCGTGACATGCATTTTTCAAATTGTTTGATTGCAAGTCAGAAGGGGAGATGAAGACGCAATTAGATACATAATGTGTGAGTTGGGTTTTTTGTACCATAATTATGTGATTGAGTGTATGTGCGTGATTTCATATCATTCTAGTATAGTATCAGGTTAATGTACAGTGCTAGAAATAGATGTGAACTGTGTTGACGTGTCGATTTGGCACACTTTTCATATACTTAGTAAGGGGTAACACCAGCTGCTACTAAGTACAAAACTATTGGCTACAACTAGGGAGACTCGTCTTTCCATTTGAACTGCGTTTCTGCTACTTCAATCATTTTAGTTGTTGTTTGGAATTAGGATATTTCGCATTGTTAGGAAGGAGAATTACGGTTGTGAAAATTGTTGAAGTGCGTAAATCATGGACGTTTGTGACTGGACTTCTGATGAAAGTATTGACCTTGATGCACTCTCACCACTGCCTCCATTAGTGATATGGACCAGCAGAAGAGCAGTTCCGTGTACTCCACCGCCAACTGCTCCATCTTATAGGACACCTTACTCAGCTCTTCAACACGCATACCCCAATAGCGGTTATCAAGTAGCCACATCAGAAGTCTCCTCTTCCCATTATTCTCTTCAGAGTACCTCTTTCTGCCCGTGGAGTACAGAAACATCTATCTCCGGTGTCCTTCAAGACCATCCACCCATGGACCTGGTGTCAGAAATCTCCAGGGACCCTCGACGAGAAATCAAGAGGAGCAAGGATTCAAAGCCCATTGATGCTTCAATCACAGCTGTCGCAAACCCAAGTTTGGATCCCTTGACATCGGCTGGGGAGAAGGAGCAAATTTCACAAGATGAAAGTAGCGCAACTGTTAATGGGCATCCCGAACCCGTTTCAAAACACTCCACAGGCTACGAGGAAGTAGCGTTTCACTCTGAATATGGCAATTACTCCAGCAAATCTGCCGATATGAACGTTCACGCCGGGCTTGTGCCCAACTTCGGCCATTTTCCAGTATCTTCTCCAGTGGCTAGCTTACCTGACGTTCCCAAAAACCTCGTTCGTGACGGGATCAACAATCGTCATGCCACTGAGCTGGTCCAGGACGTAGTTTGTCAACTTCAAGCTGACCTTCTAAATCCAGACAATACACTCTGTGAAGAAACCGGAAAGGCACTTGAACGCCAGCCCGATAGGCTCGATCGTGGACATTCAAATCCTGGAGAAAAAACGTATAAATGTAAGCATTGCGATACATCATTTTCTACACAGTCTTGTCTAGCATCTCATGAATGTACACATTCAGAAGAGAAATTGTTCAAGTGTAAAGTGTGTGATAAATATTTCACTACGCGATCTTATCTTACCCGTCATGCACGACTTCACTCAGGAGACAAAACGTTTGCGTGCACGTACTGCGCAAAGCGGTTCAGTAGCAATAACGATCTACTTGTTCATAAACGTATCCATACCGGGGAGAAGCCATACAAGTGTAATTACTGTGATAAAAAGTTTTCCCAAAGCCACAGCGTGACAGTTCATGAACGTACCCATACTGGAGAGAGGCCATACAAGTGTAAATTGTGTGACAAGTCATTCAAGAGGTCAGCACACCTCACAGTGCATCAACGCATCCATACTGGTGAAAAACCATACAAGTGTAAAGTATGTGGAATGGCATTCCGTCAAATGTCAACTCTCGCATATCATCAACGAATCCATACTGGGGAGAAACCATGTTGGTGTAAGGAATGCGGAAAGTCTTTCACCAAGAATTCCGACCTAAAACGTCATGAGCGGATCCATCCCTGAGAGAACCTGATCAATTGTCAGCCATCGTGACAAGTCTTTCAATGTGCAAAACAACATGGAATACCATGCAAATACAAACCCAGTAAACAGAAAGATTGTTTTAAAGATTATGGAAAATGTTACTGATAGGCCCGTTTTGAACCACAAGTAGCGTAAATGTCGTTTACAATCCAATCCGATATCGAAAAGGTCACTGTTTACATGCTAACTTCAACCTGTGCAACATCCAAAACATTATCATTTTCATTGTGTTCGAGTTGTTATGTACTGTTTCATTCCTTGTTTTCTATTTCAGTTCTACCATAGACGGAACGTTTTTCTATATTTGCCATTCAATAAAAAATTCAATTGCGCTACACGTGTCTGTATGGTTCTTTTTTGACAAATCAGTCCTGCTATATATCGCTTATCCTACTTCTGGAGCACGCATGCCTGGTACGTATCTTTTCGCTTCAAGAGGCGCTGTGCTGTTTTCAAGTTCGCACATGCTGATAAAATATTGTGCATGTATGTAGCAATGATCCCAAGTGTAATCTTGTATAGTAACGTTCTACTACTTATCAAAACTATTCGAATACTATCTCACTGTCCATTTGTTGGATGAAAATGTGTCAACGGGGAAATTTGACTTGTAATAAAAAATAAAAAATAAAAGTAAATTAATTTTCGTGTCCCGTCCCGGGGGGAACTCACGACAGCCGCTAACACCCAATAAACCCTAGCGGCAGTACCAGAAATCAAAACTGGAAAACCAGATTATGACCAGCAATTCCTTTCTTTTCCCACATTTTGTTGAGGATGAATGTTGTATCAAGCAATGCACTAACACTACCATAATGGGTAGCGGTCATCAAAGTAGCAGACTAGTAGCTACCGTTCAACATTTTCTTCTGACTTCGAAACTCTCGCTTCCTGTGATTTCACAGTTCTCAGCCCTCACTTGAACACACACTTCCCGCACAATAAAGCACGCGGTGCGGCCCAACAAACAAAGCATTCATTTCTTTGAGAACAAGGTGCAAAAAGAAACGCTCTGAAGAAAATATTGACTGTCATCACCAGCACTCGAACCCTTTATTATGGCCTGCGATACTCTTTTGATATCTGAGTACGTAACACATATATCTTACTCCACTGCATCAGACCAGTGTGAGGTTGACAAGATGACTACTATAGTCACAGTTAGGATGCACAGCCAGTGTGCTGGATATGCTAACTACAACGGAGGCAGAGAGTACTGTCAAACCGGAAAGTCTAACGAACAAAAAGTTTAACGTTTTTGTAATTTTGGCATGATTACGTGCAGAAAGATTAACGATGGCTACCTGGCCACACATCTGTATGCGAATCTTTACACAGACATCTAGTTGTCTAGCGATAAGGATAACGTTTTTTCAAAGAACGAAAAATTGGTCGTTAAAACGTTAGATGTTGTAACTCGTTAAACTTTCCGGTTTTACAGTATTTTGTTTATGCTTACCATATCGGGATAAAGCCAGGTCGTCGCAAATCAGGGTTTCTCGTTCTAGAACGAGTTCTAATCATTACAATGAAATCATAAGGTAACCAAAATGGGCATTATAAGTTTTATTTTATAACAACCATGTGGCAAGGAACTAGACGTTTTCCATCTCTGCACTCGGAATATATGTGAGCTTGTACTAATCAAGAAAGACAGGAAATGGTATATTTCCACGAGGAGCTGATCCTACCCTTCTCTATGATTGGGTATATTTCATTCCCTGCAAGGACACTGTTATTGACTGCATTTGGAGTAATAGCGCTGCGTCCGTGATTAATCTAAATTTATCTCTTTACTTAAACTGTAATTTTTTAGGAATGGGTTTGCTCCCACACTGGAGCTCGTGGCGTTTCGCCGACTTGACCTGACACTTGATTGACTCACGACTGCCATCCAGAGAACACGAGAAGGCCATTGAACCTTCGACTCGGCAAACCTGCAAGAAAGCACCACTCCCTGCTAAATACACAGTGTCTCGGGGAATTCAAACCTCATCAGTTGAGCTTGAGTAGGCTGAGGAAGATTGTGCCGGAAGAGAACCTCTTATATAGTGCTCTTCAGGCACAAACATCACCAGGAATACAAACTTACAGAGACGCTCCGTTTCCAGCGCGACAAACACCTCGTGAACATCAGATAGCACCGTGAGTCAGTGTCGCGCCTGGACGGTGAGAACAGACATAGACCACCCGTCATTCACAACGATGTCACCTCTAAACCAGCTAGTCGCAAGCCCGCGCTGGGCACAACAGTACGAAATTGTGATGCCATCTGGGGTTCACGAGCTGTTTGTCGCGCTGGAAACGGAGCGTCTCCTTATCATCACTGCCTTCAAATCATTATCGTTTTTCGGCGAATTCTCAAACCAACTATCATATAGCTATGTGTTGGTAAATGATCAGTTATAGAGATTGACTTTGTGTACTCCGCCTTTGTCGCCGTGCGACTACCCTGATCTAACAATACTCATGCCAGTTGCACTACAAACAATCCACTCATGACATCTTGCTCTAAAAGGCGAGCTGCCTGCAAACTTGGATTCACACAAGAGCCATAAGAACACGAGGTCAATCTTGGTGATCATAAAAAGGAGAGACTGATTAGGCACGCGCATGCCTAATTTATACGGGCCAAGATCGCGCATGCCTAATATGCCCGCGTACCATACTGCGCATGCCTATAGCCATTCAGAATATGGAAGGAGCGCGGCAAGGTCAGAAAAAGTAGGCTCTAGCACTACAAATTTATGTCTAAGTGATAATTATGGAAATTACGATCGCGTTCGCGACATTCCGGCCAGCGAGAAGAAATGAAGAATGATACTCAGTAAACATATCTACACAATGAACTGAATGTCAAGAAAGGAACATGCAATGTAAATAGCTCCGAATACTGTCAGCCTTGAAATTCATGAATACAAATCTGTGCCGAAAATGATCTACGGTACCTAAACGACGTACTGGTGGGAGAGCTGTATCAAACTTGACTCAATGATACCGTTGCTATACTGACTGACTGCATGATATATTGACACTAGTTACAACTTCAGATCAACTTACTGTTCATGCATCTGAATACTCATCTTGAAAGTTCACCTTCGGAAATAAGGCAATCTACTTTTAAACTACTTCAATAGAACATGTATGCTGCAGTATATGTAGCAAAGGAGGTTCGCATAAGCAGCATGTTCATAACAAAGATCAGAAGGCAATCGTGATCATGCTGTGTATGTATATACAGTATTTAAGTGTGTGTGTGTGTATGTGTGTATGCATGTGTGAGTTTGTGGGTGGGTGTACAAGTGTTCAGACCATCATAGTATAGCTTACTATCCGGTGCACTCATTCTTCTTACTAAACTGCTCCGTCTCGTATAAGCTCACCTAGCTGTTCTTGAAACCGAGCTGCTGCGTGCCGCTTGGGCCGAGTCGTGCCGGTGGCGACACTACTGGATGCACTCTCAGTCGCCGATACTGGTTCGGGTTCACTACTCACCTGAGCTGGTGTTGATGGACATTCCAGTGGGTAAAGATGACATAGTGACCGTCTGACTGTCCTACCAGTAGGGAGCTGAATGGTGGCGGATCTTGTCTCACCATCTGAAGATGCGCGCAGTTTCACAATGCGGCCGATTGGCCAGCTAACTCGGGGCAGTGTTTCCTCGCGGATGATGACAACTGTGTCAACTGCTGGCTCGTCATTGGCACGAATACGTCCTTGTCGTAGCTGGTAATCGCCACGCTCTCTCAGTGATGCAAGATACTCGTCTTGCCATAATTGCCAGAAGCGATTCAGCTGCTGCTGACATACATTGAACGTCTGGAGAAGTAAATCACCAGAGGCTTTGACACAGAAATCTGGATCATTCGTATCTAACTGCTCACCCGGCAGTGTTAGAGTGTTGTTGAGGCACAAGAAGTGTGCTGGTGTGAGGATAAACCCATTGAAATCCTCACCCACATACGTGAGAGGTCTACTTTTGAGGATTCCCTCTACTTCTGTCAGCAGTGTGCAAAGTTCTTCGGCCTTTAGAATTCGTTTACCGAGGGATTTCCTGAGCATTCGCTTTACGGACTGGACGAGGCGTTCATACACCCCTCCCATCCATGGTGATAGTTGAACGATGAACCGCCATTCAATACCCATAGTGGCAAGTGTCGAGAATACATCCGCATTGGTATTAATGGATTTCCACAATTGCTCCATGGTGACGTCAGCCAATTTAAACTGTTTAGCATTATCAGACACGATTGTAGCCGGTGTACCGCGGCGAGCGACGAATCGCTTAAACGCCATTAGAAAGCTGTCAGTAGTCATATCTAGTACAAGCTCTAAGTGCAACGCCCGTGTTGCCAGACAAGTGAACAGTACCACCCAAACGTTCTTGTTTTCTCCATTGGCTTTAACAGTCAGGGGCCCAAAGTAATCAATGCCAGTCCTGACAAATGGTGCGCTGCGGGTTACCCGTTCTTTGGGGAGAGGTGCGAACTTGGGCATTGCAAAGGGGCCACCCTCAAACCGTTTGCATACCTTGCACTGATTAACTACATTCGTGACCTCTTTTCTACCTCGTGTCACCCAGAAGCGTTTACGTAATTCCACAAGCGTTTGACTAGCGCCGGCGTGGAGAACTCTCTGGTGTACATCGGAAATGATCAATCTCGTCAGCGCACTCTTTCCGCAGAGGAGAATCGGGAATTTAGCATTTGATGGCAGTTCTGCATGCTTCATCCTGCCTCTGCACTTGATTAGGCCGTCTTCTTTATCAATAAAGAGGCCCAACTTGAACATCAAGTCGCTCTTGGTTTTCTTGTTGTTCTTGATGGCTTCCAGTTCTGCTGAGTAATCAGTGGCTTGCGCATGTTTCCGCCAAAGCATTTCCGCGGTCTGAAGTTCGTCAACCGATAAGTATGGTGATGTTGGACGAGACTTTCTTGCTGACTTTATGAAACGCTGTACCCATGCTGTAACCCTGATCACTTTTGCGAATGATGATGATTTCTCAATACGAATACCAGCCGGTGGGGGGTTGCTCGCCTGTTGCTCCACAGGACCCTCCCCCGACAAAGCGGCGTGAACGACTTCTTCTTGACAAGGATCAGTATCCGGTGCCCATTGCATGTCCGCCAACCACTCGGGTCCTGTCCACCACAGATTACTCTTGAGGAGGGTTGCAGTCGTGGTGCCTCGTGAGAGTTGATCGGCAGGATTGCTTCTTGTGTTCACATAACAGAATTGTACGTCTTCATTGCGGCGGATTTCTGCGACCCTATGTGCTACGAACGTCGGCAGATCCTTGCCCTTCCCTTTCACCCATCCCAGCACACATTGAGAATCTGACCACAAGTACGTAGTGAGCTGAAGAGGTAGTTCTTTCCGTAAGAAGTTGATCATTCGAGCACCTAGCGTGGCTGCGAGTAACTCCAACCTTGGTATTGTTGTTTCCTTTAACGGTGCCACACGAGACTTGGCAAAGAGTAAGCGAACAGATACGTTCGTCGAGATAGTGCGTAGATACGCCACAGCTCCGTAGCCTGCCTTTGATGCGTCACAGAAAACATGGAGCTCATACCTTGGTTCAACGTTGGAAGTGAAACTCGCAAGTCTTGGTATTCTGGTTTGGCTGGCTGCGGATAAGTCATGAGCTATCTCATGCCACTCTGTAAGAATAGCTGCTGGCAAGACATCGTCCCAATTGCACTTCAGTTTCCAGATCTCCTGAAGTAGAACCTTCGCGCGGAATACGATTGGCGAATAGATTCCCAGTGGATCGTAGAACGATGATAACACGCTCAGCATGTGTCGCTTCGTCTGAACGTTTTTTAGTTCAGCTGGGTTTGGAGTGAGCCCTAGCTCATCCAAGTTTTTGTCCCACTCCATACCAAGGACCTTGACGAGTTGAGCGATTGCAAATCTAACGGAGCCATATTCATTGGACAAGAGATGTGGTCAGTGATATTTGCAGATATCGGTTGGAAGGAGCCATCACGTAATTTGACTTGTAACTCTACCCTAGGGTAAGTGCGAGTAGTTCTGGTCTTGGAACCAAACCCGGCTACTGCCAAAACATCTTGACCAACTGGTTTACTGTGTAGTGAGGTAGTGACATTTCTGTGCACAAATGAACGGGACGACCCAGTGTCGAACAAGATGCGTGCGTTGCAAGTGTGGTCACCATTCTGGATTTCTGCCATTGCTGTTTGCATTAGTACCACATTGCTCTGGGAGTAAACTTCATTTGTTGCATGTACGTCAGCCACAGGCGGCACTGGCTCTGCATTGCAAGATTGAACATTGGTTGGCTTTGCACTTTTGAATTCTCGTGCCTTTGGATCTAGCCTGGATTGTGGATCAAATTTCTTCATGCATAATGACCGATGATGCCCACGTTTCCCACAATGGTAGCATGTACGTGCACCAGCTCTGCAATCTGCTGCACTATGTCCTTTCCTCAGACATACGAAACATTCATTTGTGATTTTCTCTTTCCGTTTCTCATACGTTGGATATGCTGGGCATTCATCCGTGTAGTGTGACCCTCCACAATACCAACATTTCGGGCCTTTGTGCGTGGTCTGATTCATTAGTAAGGAACTGGTGGCCATACCCTCTTGGTTTGTTTCCCTGTGTACCCGCCCATTAGAAGGTGTGAAGTGTACAGATGCCATGTGATCACTTGCTTCAAGGATATCAATTAATGCACCCAAGACCGTAAGTAGTTTGCCCACAGACCAATTGTCACCGGTTTTTCTTTTCTCCATATCAATGATTATTGCTTTTGGCAGTTTTGACATCAGTAGCGGTACTATTATCTCTTGCTGGATGTCTGAACTAGGCCTCAGCGGCTAATGCTAGTTTTTTGGGGCAAAAATGCTTTTGGCAATGCTAGTTATTTTGGTTGCTAATGCTAGGTTGAGTGCTCGTTTGCAGCATTAATGCTAGTTTCAGCACCAATAAAAAGGAAAGAAAATGGTGTACTGAAATACTTTTTCGGATGGTCTTGTGTCTAATTTCATTGTAGACACGATCAGATGAACCAGGGCACCATGGTAAATTAAAGATAGAAATGCGATACTAGTAGTCGATACACGGTGGACAATGTCTGGCAACTATCTTCGTGTCCCATTACGGCTTGGGAACTCACAGCTCATGGCCGAGCCGACCGCGGTTGTACTGGAGCATGAGCTCCACTTCCAGGTGGTCTGTCAGTGTTGAGGCTTGCTAAGGGTGCACCCTTTGGGGTTTTCTTGAAATAAACTTTTTTGAATTTTTCCACTCGACCATGCTGAAATACGGCCAAAGTCATACCTGCGCAGGAAAGCTCGCCCCTCCGCGACGTCTCCTCAGCAATTTCTACTCCAACACTACTCCCAAGGCCGCAGAACAAAGTGTAGTGTTGACTCTGACAAGGAAAAGCAGCGGTGATCACTTGTCACTCCAAACGACAAGCTTCTCCTTGCGCCACCAATAATTTTTTGTGCGACTGTTGATGCAAAAGTGACTGAAGGCCTGAGCGCAGTTTTTGAATCTTATTGCAAGATGCACGGTGAAATCACGTGCCTTGTGACGCAAGAATGCCAAGTCGCGTGGATCACGGCATGTGTGTAGCGTAGGTTTGGCGCTTCCAAATAGGCACCCTTAGCATTGAGACGATAACGCTAGCGGTAACGGTATTTTGACTGTGGCCGGACCAAGAGTACCCATTTTGTTACTGTATGGCATATATGTACCCTTGAATCCTGTTGTGCACTTGCTGTGTGCCAGAAGAGGCCCAGACCCCATAATTGGTGCAAACATTACCATATGGGTCATTGCAGCGTATGCCTTGGAAAGGTTTTTAGCCCCCAGGCCCCTTTTAATGCTTTTTACCCCATAAAACCTGCTTGCAATGCTAGAGCAATGCTAGTTTCCAAAAAAGGCCTTTAATGCTACTTTTAATGCTAGCATTAGCCGCTGAGGCCTAGTCTGAACCAGCTGATTTCAGACACCGCAAGTGCGCCTCTGCTTCATTTTGGAACTTCCGTAACGCTACTGGTGTGTTCACTGGTGGCTTAATGGTAACAAGCTTGTGATACGTCATGTTGGCAATTACTTGTGGCTTTCCAAATCGCTCTTTTAGGAGCCCTAATGCTGCTGCATAATTCTTGCCCGTTAAGGTAATGCCCGTTATGGTATCTAGTGCTGCATCGCTCAGGTGATTTCTCAAGTACACTAATTTCTCCACATTGGACAGCTTGGTATTATTGTGAACAGTGGATTCAAACATGTCAATGAATTCTGGGTACTGCAACACATTGCCATTGAACACAGGTATTTTTAGGACAGGAAGCTTCGTTGAACTTGATACTGTGACTGGAGTGCCATTGGCCGCACTTTGTTCTGAGACAAACTGGTTTAATAGCTTCGCTGTTTCTGCCTGTGTTTTCGTATTGGCTTCCATGACCTTCGTCAGATCTATTATCTCCACTGGGGATGCTGTTTTACACTGTGCTGACTTTCCTCGTAACTGTGCCAATAGATCATTGCATTCCGTAATTAATTCCACAACCACATCGACATACTGCTCATCGTGTTTCTTTTTCTCTTTATCACCCTTTTTTGTAGCCTCAAAGTCGTAAACCACATTAGCAAACAGGTCGAACAATTCCTCGCCTTTCTTTATCGTAGAAGCAAATACAGTAATCAGACTACTTATCTCGTCCGGAGTTGGAGTGCCAGACAGCAATGCGTTGGCCTCAGCAGAGCGCTGCTTCAAGAACTTCACGTGGGCCTGCAGCACCTTCCGTTTCGTCTTCGCCTGGGCGTTGATGGAGTCTGGTTCTGCCATATCTGCTCTCGGTCTCACACCATATCCGGAAAATGTCGCCGTGCGACTACCCTGATCTAACAATACTCATGCCAGTTGCACTACAAACAATCCACTCATGACATCTTGCTCTAAAAGGCGAGCTGCCTGCAAACTTGGATTCACACAAGAGCCATAAGAACACGAGGTCAATCTTGGTGATCATAAAAAGGAGAGGCTGATTAGGAACGCGCATGCCTAATTTATACGGGCCAAGATCGCGCGTGCCTAATATGCGCGCGTACCATACTGCGCATGCCTATAGCCATTCAGAATATGGAAGGAGCGCGGCAAGGTCAGAAAAAGTAGGCTCTAGCACTACAAATTTATGTCTAAGTGATAATTATGGAAATTACGATCGCGTTCGCGACAGCCTTATCAGCAATTGTCAAATCAAAACAGTTCAATGAAGTTGATTGCTCCAACGATGAGCACACGCTTCTTGCCGAACTTGACACTTGGCTGACTCACGACTGCCATCCGGAGCACACGAGGAGCATGTCGCACCTTCCGCTCGGCAAACCTTAAAGAAAGCACCACTCCCTGCTCAATACACAGTGTATGAGGAATTCACCCCTCATCAGTTGAGCTTGAGTAGGCTAAGGAAGATTGTGCCTGAAAAGCACCACTTACATACTGCTCTCCTCAACTGATGAGGGGTGAATTCCCCGAAACACTGTGTATTGAGCAGGGAGTGGTGCTTTGTATTTTGTATTTGTATTTATGGATTCTCCACAGGCCTTAGCCTAAATCGAGGGAGTCTTCGTCAAAAGCTTATGAAGAAGAAGCTGAGGAGAAAAATAAAAATAGGAAATAGAATGATGCCGGGTGGAAGTACTTTAACACAGTGCTCTATGACATCGCTACTCTACGTGGAATGAAACCAGAGGGCTCATAACGGGTGATAGCAAAGTGTGTGCGGACAAGAGCGGTAAAATATTTTGAGCTGGATACAGTACGAATGGCAGCCGGGAGGGAGTTCCATGTGGCATTGGTGACAAAGAGAAAGGTGGCACGGGTGTGTGTGCTGGCTCTAGCAGGTGGGAGTAGATGTTGGGGGCGCCTGGCGCTGTTTGACACTGAGTAGCCTAGGTCCTCCAGGGTCGTCATCTGGCTATTGATAAGGTGGTGGAGCTCAAGAAGGCACTGAATGTGTCTTCGCCATGTGATGCTGGGCCACTAGAGGTGAGGCTTTCGGCTCCGTTTGAGGAGGGTACACGCCATACTGCCGCAGGATCACACGTGCCACTCTTGTCTGTAGCCGTTCAAAGGTAGTAGCCTGAGCACTGGAGAGTTGAAATTTCCAGAGGGATGAGGCTTTCTTTCAGGTTTGCCGAGCGGAAGGTGCAACGTGCTCCTCGTGTGCTCCGGATGGCGGTCGTGAGTCAGTCAAGTGTCAAGTTCGGAAAGAAGCGTGTGGTCCTCGTTGGAGCAACCAACTTCATGACTTTTATCGCCGAAGTCGCAACTTCTAAGTTCGTAAAACAGTTCAAGCTAGGACATATTGGCTGAGATAGACAGTCTTTGATTATGCTTCATTTCCTCGTTCTCTCCTGAAGTAGTCTTCTTGTTTTCTTGCAATATTTATTTATTATTATTTATTTATTTATTTCTGCACCTCGTGGCATGTCAAGACAGCCAATTGAATTGAGGAGAGGGTGAGACCAACCACGGAAGAAGAGAAAAAAAGAAAATTAAGAGCACGTACACAAAGTGGGAAGGGATTAGCAACTTACAAAGCAATGGGATGCTCAGCGAGCTATGCAGCGGAAGTGGTGACTGTGACTTTGTTTACTGGGAGATACTGAAGTGCTGTCTGACGAGGGTACGGAATTTGGGCATATCTGGAGCTTGTCTAACACTGGGAGGCAGTTGGAGCCACGTGGAGTAGGAGGAAAAGAAAGGGGAATTTACGAATAGGGTAGACCTAGCTAGGGGGAGACGAACGCAGCTTCGGGTGGTGCCACCTGAATTGAACCAATTAAGGGACTGTAAATGAGCAGGGTGCTGGTCAAGGAAAATTGAATGCGCCAGGGTGCACTTGGAAGCATCAAGGTAATGTTGCAGAGTGGTAGTGGATGCAGCAGCATACAAGTCTAGATTTGAGGTATAACGATCAGTACGGAATATGATTCGCAGTATACGGCGATGGAGAACTTCTAATTTACCTATGTGGGTTTTGTTAATGGTGGACCAGGCAGGGAAGCCGTACGTGAAGAGGGGAAGAATGTATGATTTATAAAAATTAATCCGGCAATTTTTGGGCAAATGGGACAAGTGACTTGACATTATGCCGACAGATCGGCATACTTTGGACGACACATGATCAGCATGGTGAGACCAGGAGAGGGCGGAATCTATGACAATGCCAAGGTGTTTATGGTGGGGCGCTACAGAGATAGGGTGACCGGGATCATCGGGAAAGTGGAAGATGGGCACTGGATCTGTGGGAGGGGGAAACAGGAGGAGCTCGGTTTTGGTCACATTTGGCTTAAGGTACCAAGTGCTCATCCAGTGAACAATGTCGTTGATACAGGTCTGAACTTTGGGGTACAGGGTGGCGTGAGATGGGGAGGAAGCAAGGACAGTGGTATCATCTGCAAACAAAGAAATATTGGGAATTGAATAGGGGAGGTCATTAACGTATGTGACGAAGAGCAGGGGACCTAAAATGGAGCCCTGGGGCACTCCGGATGTCACAGACTCGGGGTCAGATAAGGTTCCATTTACTGTGACGCACTGATTTCGGTCCAAGAGGTAGCTAGTTATCCAGGCGAGTAGGGAGCCGGAGACACCATGGGCACGAAGTTTGGCGATCAGGCCCTTGTGCCACACGGTGTCGAAGGCCTTGGAGAGGTCGAAGAAACAGATGCAGGAGACCTGCCGCTGGTCTTTTAGGGAGCAGAGGTCTTGGATTATGCGGGATAATTGCAGGGATGTGTTGTCCTTACGACGGAAGCCAGATTGTGCGGGGTGAAGAAGAGGGGAGATATGGTCGTACAAGCGGTCGTACACTATTCTCTCTAGCAGTTTGGAGACGCAGGACAGGAGGGAGATTGGTCGGTAATTAGACGGGTTGTTCTTGTCGCCTTTATTTTTGTACACTGGAATGACAGTGGCTGACTTCCATCGTGACGGGAATGTGCCGGAGGAGAGGGAAAGGTTAAAAAGAATGGAGAGTGGGCGGGCAATTGAGTAGCTCAGTTTCCTGAGGATCTCATTGGTGATCCTATCAGCTCCGGGGGATTTGTTCAGAGGCAGTCTTGCAATATACTTGTGAACAGTCGATGAGGTGATGATCAGGGAGTGCAATGTAGTTGCTGGTGGAGGTAGAGAGGAAATAGTGGGAATAGGAGCATCGGGATCAACCTGTAAGCCAGCACTAACGAAGTGGCGGTTCAATAAGTTACCAATGGATGCCGGAGAGGTGCTTGTTCGACCATTGGGGCCCACCATCTTCGAAGGTATAACCCGGGCGCTGGTAGGATTTCGCAGTTGACGAATGAGCACAGTTTTTTTTTTTTTTTTTGTCCATCATCCACTCTGAATAGGGTAATCATCTTTTGGTCCTAGATCGCCAATGAATCATGAGATAGTACACAATGGACTTGGACTTGTGTGGAGTTGCGAACTGTGCTTTGTACTGTAATCTTCGTATTGAATTTACATGTACATTAGAATTTGCTTCAAAAACTATAACATTGAGTACCAATAAATTGCATTACGTGTGGTTTCATTTTTATTTTTTTGGCACTGCGCACGCTTACACATTTGTCCACTCACAGCTTTAACGTGATGATAGAAGAAGAATATGACATGTATGTCAGTGGTAAGCGCTCAGATCAATGTTGTATAACATGTCACATAATCCATAACCTACCTATGATACCTAATACGAGGCGAGAGAACGTCCATGCCTCAATTAATACCTAGCAACGAAGAGTCTCAGATTTCACTATCTCAAGTCTGGTGTTGAAGAGTCAGCATGACATGCATGTTTCAAATTGTGTGATTGCAAGTCACAAGTGGAGATGAAAACGAAACTAAAGACATCATGTGTGAGTTGGGTTTTTGTATCATAATTATGTGATTGAGTGTATGCGCGTGATTTCACATCATTCTAGTATAGTATCTGGTAAAGGTACAGTGACAGAAATAGATGTGAACTGTATTAACGTGTCGATTTGGCACACTGTACATCTACTTACTAAGGGGTAACACCAGCTACTACTAATTATATTGGCTACAACTAGGGAGACTTATCTTCCTATTTGAACTGCGTTTCTGCTACTTCAAGTATTTAATTTGTTGTTTTGAATTAGGATATTTCGCATTGTAAGGAAGGAGAATTACGGTTGTGAGAACTGTTGAAGTACGTAAATCATGGACGATTGTGACTGGACTTCTGAGGACAGTGTGGACTTTGATGCATTCTCACTACTGCCTCCATTAGTGATATGGACAAGCAGAAGGGCAGTCACGTGTCCTCCACCGCCAACTGCTCCATCTTATAGTACACCTTACTCAGCTCTTCACCACGTATACCCCAATAGTGGTTATCAAGTAGCCACATCAGAAGTCTCCTCTTCCCATTATTCTCTTCAGTGTACCTCTTTCTGCCCGGGGAGTACAGAAACATCTACTTCCGGTGTCCTTCAAGACTATCCACCCATGCACTTGGTGTTAGAAATCTCCAGGGACCCTCGACGAGAAATCCAGAGGAGCAAGGATACAAAGCCCAGTGAAGTTTCAACCACAGCTGTCAATAACCCAGGTTTGGATCCCTTGACATCGGCAGGGGAGAAGGAGCACATTTCACAAGATGAAAGTAGTCCAACTGTTAACGGGTATCCCGAACCCTTTTCAGATAACTACACTGGCTACGAGGAAGTAGCGTTTTACACTGAATTTGGCAATTACTCCAGCAAATTTGCCGATATGAACGTTCATGCAGGGCTTGTACACAAATTCGGACATTTTCCAGCATCCTCTCCAGTGGCTAGCTTACCTGAGGATCCAAAAAATCTCGTTCGTGATGGGATCAACAATCGTCATGCCACTGAGCTGGTCCAGGAGATCGTTGGTCAACTTAAAGCTGACCTCCGAAATCCAGACAATACACTCTGTGAAGAAACCAGAAAGGCACTTGATCGCCAGCCCGATAGGCTCGATCGTGGACATTCAAATCCTGGAGAAAAAACGTCTAAATGTAAGCATTGCGATAAATCATTTTCTACTCAGTCCTGTCTTACTCCTCATGAATGTACACACCCAGAAGAGAAGTCGTTCGAGTGTAAAATGTGTGATAAAAATTTCACTACGCGATCTAATCTTACCCGTCATGCACGACTGCACTCAGGAGACAAAACGTTTGCGTGCACGTACTGCGAAAAGCACTTCAGTAGCAAATACGGCCTACTTGTTCATAAACGTATCCATACCGGGGAGAAGCCATACAAGTGTAATTACTGTGATCAAATGTTTGCCGAAAGACACGGCCTAACAGTACATGAACGTACCCATACTGGAGAGCGGCCATACAAGTGTAACTTGTGTGACAAGTCATTCAAGAAGTCATCACACCTCACAGTGCATCAACGCATCCATACTGGTGAAAAACCATACAAGTGTAACGTATGTGGCATGGCATTCCGGCATATGTCAGTTCTCGTATGTCATGAACGACTCCATACTGGGGAGAAACCATTTTCGTGTAAGGAATGTGGAAAGTCTTTCACAAAGAAATCCGGTCTAAAACGTCATGAGCGGATCCATCCCTGAGAGAACCTGATCAAGTGTCAGCTATGGTGACAAGTCTTTCAATGTGAAAAACAACATGGAAGACCATGCAAATACAAACACCGTAAAACAGAAAGATTGTTTTCAAGATTGTCGAAAATGTTACTCATAGGCCCGTTTTGAACCACAAGTAGCGTAAATGTCGTTTACAATCCAATCCGATATCGAAAAGGTCACTGTTTACATGCTAACTTCAACATGTGCAACATCCAAAACATTATCATTATCATTGTATTCGAGTTGTTATGTACTGTTTCATTCCTTGTTTCCCGTTTTAGTTCTACCATAGACGGAACTTTTTTCTATATTTGCCATGCATTAAAAGGCTCAATTGCGCTACACATGTCTGTATGGTTCTTTTTTGACAAAAATCAGTCCTGCTATATATCGCTTATCCTACTTCTGGGGCACGCATGCCTGGTACGGATCTTTTCGCTTCAAGAGGCGCTGTGCTGTTTTCAAGTTCGCACATGCTGATGAAATATGATGCATGTATGAACTCTTGGTTCCATGTGTCATCCTGTATAGTAACGATCTACTACTTATCAAAACTATTCGAATACTATCTCACTGTCCATTTGTTGGATGAAAATGTGTAAACGGGGAAATTTGACTTGTAATAAAAAATAAAAAATAGAAGTGAATTATCGTGTCCGTTCCCGAAGGGAACTCACGACAGCCTCAGACCTCACCTCACCTCAGACCTGCCCATCGCGGAAGCGATGATAGCGAACAGCTATGTTAGACATAGCAACTTGTGCTGGGATTACACCATTCAACAGCTTGCAAGGCTGATGAATTGACCGCCACTATTTTTAGCCTGGTATCCACCACACAGCTGATTGAAGTGACTTTTTCTGGCCAGTGAATCCCTATTTTCATTTTTCCATTTTTTTTCTACACACACACACACCACACCACATACTCCGGCATACACTGGCTGTTGGTAACCACCCAGGAGAATGAAAGAAAAGTCAGGAAGAGACCGAGAAAGAGAAGAAAGACGTGTGCGACCATAATCGTCGGGAATTGAACCCGCAACCTCTCGATTGGAAATCGACTGCACATACCACTGCACCATATGGGACACACACACAGCCGCTAACACCCGATAAACGCTAGCGGCAGTACCAGAAATCAAACCTCGAAAACCAGATTATGACCCGCAATTCCTTTCTTTTCCCACAGTTTGTTGAGGATGAATGTTGTATCAAGCAATGCACTAACACTACGATAATGGGTAGCGGTCATCAAAGTAGCAGACTAGTAGCTACCGTTCAACATTTTCTTCTGACTTCGAAACTCTCGCTTCCTGTGATTTCACAGTTTGCAGCCCTCACTTGAACACACACACTTCCCACACAATGTAGCACGCCAAGCGGTCCAACAAACAAAGCATTCATTCCTTTGAGAACAAGGTGCAAAAGGAACGCTCTGAAGAGAGTACGTAACACATAATTATATCTTACTCCACTGCATCAGACCAGTGTGAGGTTGACAAGATGACTACTATAGTCACAGTTAGGATGCACAGCCAGTGTGCTGGATATGCTAACTACAACGCAGGCAGAGAGTATTGTCAAACCGGAAAGTCTAACGAACAAAAAGTTTAACGTTTTTGTAATTTTGGCATGATTACATGCAGAAAGATTAACGATGGCTACCTGGCCACACATCTGTATGCGAATCTTTACACAGACATCTCATTATCTAGCGATAAGGATGACGTTTTTTCAAAGAACGAAAAAAATTCGTCTTTAAAACGTTAGATGTTGTGACTCGTTAAACTTTCCGGTTTTACAGTATTTGTTTATGCTTACCATATCGGGATAAAGCCAGGTCGTCGCAAATCAGGGTTTCTCGTTCTAGAACGAGTTCTAATCATTACAGCGCAATCATAAGGTAACCAAAATAGGCATTATAACAACCGTGATGGTTGGACGGCCCCTTAAAGCTGTGAAAGGACAAAGGTGTAAGCGTGGCAGGGCAAACAAAACAGTGAAACCACACCTCATGTAATTTCCTTGGTACCCTCAATGGCATAGTGTTTTTTAATGATTGCCTGTTCCGAGCCACCAATCGCAGTGTCTCCAGGTCCTTCAGACTCCGGAGACGCCCGGACGTTACCTTGGCTAATTCGTTGTCCATCACCACTGTTTCCTGTACTACACGGACCGTCAACATCTAGCGTGCGCACTAACAGAGGCAGAGGTAGTGTTCAAAGAGTGGAACCTCAACATCAACCCTACCAAGTCCGAGTGGAACCATCTATACCAAGAAGAGGATGTTGCAAGAAGAGGTGAGGAACGATGGAGGTCCACCCGGTTGCTTGGTTCACTGTACGGAGTAACAGAAGACCTCAAACGCCGGCGCCAGCAAGCCGCAGCTGCCTTCACCACACTTGTCAATCTGTGGATGCGGAGACATGTTATCTCTGAAGCAACCCACCTGAGGTTGTTTGATGCATTTGTGCTATCTATTTTGACCTACAACTGTGGCGTGTGGGTGCTTTCATCCCGGGATGCTACAGCAATGGATGCAGTCCACAGAAAGCAGCTCCGCCGTCTTTTGGGGATATCTTACCCGGAAATTATCTCGAACACAGACCTATATACCCGCTGCAATGCCGAGCCAATATCCGTACTAAGCAGAAGAGCACGCTGGAAACTGTTTGGTCATATTCTACGCCTCCCTGAAGCAACTCCAGCGCAGGTGAGAATGACAGCATATTTACAGCGACAGAATCGGGGCTGGCTCGGACGCCCGCGCATCACCCCACCAGTGGTGATAGACAACGAATTAGGACTGTCAATACCAGAACTCAAATCTCGGACACTAGATTAGGACCAGCAAATTTCTTTCTTTTCTCACATTTTGTTGAGCATGAATGTTGTATCAAGCAATGCACTAAAACTACGATATGGGGTAGCGGTCATCAAAGTAGCTACCGTCCAACGTTTTCTTCTGACTTCGGAACTCTCGCTTCCTGTGATTTCACACAGGCTGGTGGCTCGAAGCGCGCACTGTAATCCACACACTTCCCAAGAGATGTAGATACACAAACAAAGTATTCATCCTCTTGAGAACACGGTGCAAACGGGAAAGTTCTGAAGACAATATTGACTGTCACCTCCAGGATTCGAGCCAGGCACCCTTTCTTTTGTCCTGCGATGCTCTATTTGATACCATAATTATTACGTAAACATATCTTACTCGACTGCATCAGACCAGTGTGAGGTTGACAAGGTGACTACTAGATTCACATTAGGATGTACAGCCAATGTGCTGAATATGCCAAATACAATAGAGAAAAGGGTATCAATTTTTGTGATGCTTACCATAGCGGGACAAAGCCAGGTCGCCCTATCTCAGAGTTTCTCGCTCTAGAATGAGTTGCATAATCATCATGCATATATGCTTCAATCATAAGGTACCCAACAAATGAGTATAGTAATAACTATGGGGCAAGGAAGTAGACTTTTTCCATTTCTCTACTCAGAATATATTTGAGCTCGTTCATCACAATTAAGACAGGATACCAGTATGACAAAGTGTCTGTAGTCTTTGCTCAATGCCTCAAAGAGGGGCAGAGCTTACCACACAGGGCAGAGCAACAGAGACAAGTATGATAATATTTCCATGAGGAGCTGATATTCCCTTCTGCATAATTGGGTGTATTTCATTCCCTGCAAGGACACTGTGAGTGACTAAATTTGGAGTCATAGCGTTGCGTCCATTCTTAATATAATCTCGTTTCTTTAACTGCAATGTATGGTAAACGAGAATCTTGTCTAAAGTCCTGAACTTCGATTCGGTGAGGCACATTCGTGACTGGCATATCGAAGACCAGTGCTCACAGGTCTAGAGGTGCACAACGCTCAGCTCTTACTTGAGTGACTGGATCGTCTACATCGGGTCATAGTGCCTACTCCTACCAAGGTTTTAATGCACTGAAGTGTAGCTGAATCCGAGACAGTACATGAACGCATCCATACCCGAGATACACCATTTCAGTGGAAGGAATGTTGAAAGTCGTTCGCCAATCAATCCAGCCTGATAACAGGCCAAGACAGAATCCAAACCTGAGAAAAACTGATCAAGTGTCAGCGCATCTGACAAGTCAATCAATGCGAGAACACGCTTTGAAGACCTTGCAAAAACTAACAGCCGAAAGGTTGTGTTTCTAGATGTGTATTTTAGGTGCACATACCAATTTCACTGCTTACATGCTGACGTCAACACATGTAACATCAATACCATTATCATAATCATTCCAGTTGATATCTAAAGTTTCATTCCATGTTATCCATTGCACGTCTTACACACAAGGAATGTATTTACAAATTAACAATGCAAATAAAAATGAATTGCGATGAAACTCCCTGTGCGGTTAATTGTTGGTAAAAAGAACAGTCCTTTTTTAAAATGTCTTTTATCTTCAACGAGCAAGCCAGATATTGAACTCTTCGCTAGCCTTTCCGCTGGGCTGTTTGGGATTGCACACGTGATGCAAAATATTTTAGTTCCTTTATTCCTCTATGTAACTTTGATCCCATATGTTCCATTGTATAGTCCCGTTCTAGTCCTTGTGAATCTTGTCACATTATACCAGGCTCTTCAAAGGCCGTACATATTAGAATTATACTCACATGAGGTGAAAACGCTTCAATGCAACGATGTCCCATTCAATAATTATATAATGACAACGTGTCTCACATTTTCACCATCCCACGTCAGGAGTTGAAGAGTCAGCATGAAGTGCAATTCTCAGCTTTCGTGATACCAAAACCAGCGCTAAGATGAAGAGAAAATTGGAAAGATAGTGTGTGTGTGTGTGTGTGTGTGTTAACTTATGAATGCGTGCAGGTGTTTATACGTATGGGCAGGATATGATAAGATCGCCATGTGTGAGTTGAATATAAAGTTCAGAAATAGATGCTAGACGTGACGAAATAGCAGAGTGTTCCTGTACATATTTTGGGAAACACAGATGCTATTGATTACTCAATGCTATTGATTATAAAACTTACCTCCTAGGGCGAGTTATTGCTATTGGCATTGACGTCGGAAACTTTGGGTACTTGGACGGATAATCACAGTTTTGAGACTTTGTGTGGTACGTGAATCATGGATGATTGTGAATGGACCTCGCAGAGGAGCGTGGACTCTGATGCACGCTCACCACTGCCACCACTAGTTATATGGACCAGCAGAAGGTCAACTGCATGTCCTCCACCGCCAAATATACCATATTATGGTACATCTTATGGAGCTCATCACCACGCAAACGCGGATAGCGGTAACCAAGTAGCGACCTCAGAAGCCTCCTATTCGTATAATGCGCCGCCTCCACGATCCTCACTCAGGCCTTGGAGCACATCAACATCTACATCCGGTGTACTTCAAGATCATCCTTGGCTGGACAATGTGGCAGACAACCTCAGGGAGCAACTACCAGCGCTCCAGGGAAACAAAGATACAAACGCTAGTGAGTTTTCACCAACAGCTGTCGAAACCCCATGCTCAAGTCCAATGACAACGGCAGTGGACACTGACAAAATATCGCAAGACAACAGTAACCAAACTGCTAACTATCCTGTCTCCGTTTCAGAGCACTTCACAGACCACGGGCAAGCAGAGTATGACTCAGAAGATGGCAATTACTCAAGCAAGTCTGCCGATGTGGACGTTGACACTATCGGACGTGTTCCAGTATCTCCTCCATCGCCTAGCTTATCTGAGGACCCCAGACAACACGATCGTGAAACGCTCAACAATATTCCCACTCCTGAGTGGTTTTCGGAGGAAGATTGTCAACTTCAAACTGACCTTACTCAACCTAAAACGTCGCTCAGCAAGGACACAGATCAAGAGACAAATTCGAAATGTAAAGTGTGCGATAAAACCTTCAGTACGCCATCTAATCTTACCTGTCATGGACGACTTCACTCAGGCAAGAAACCCTTTACGTGCAAGTACTGCGCTAAGTCATTCAGTGATAAATCGAATCATATTCGTCATGAACGTATCCATACAGGGGTAAAACTATTTAAGTGCGATCAGTGTGAGCAAAGGTTTTACACCAACACCAATCTCAGAATTCATCTACGCATCCATACTGGAGTTAGACCATACAAGTGTAAACAATGTGGCAAGGCATTCAGACAACCATCGCATCTCACAGCTCACCAACGTATCCATGCTGGAGAGAAAGCATACAAGTGTAAAGAATGTGACAAGGCATTCAGACAATCTTCACATCTCACAGACCATCAACGGGTCCATACAGGAGAGAAAGCATACAAGTGTAAAGACTGTGGCAAGGCATTCAGACAATCATCACATCTCACAGTTCACCAACGCATCCATGCTGGAGAGAAAGCATACAAGTGTAAAGACTGTGGCAAGGCATTCACGCGAATTTCGATTCTAACAGCTCATCAGCGCACCCATACTGGAGAGAAACCAGTCAAGTGTAAAGTATGTGACCAGGCATTCTGGGCAAGATCAACTCTCGCAAATCATCAACGGATCCATACTGGAGAGAAACCATTTTCGTGTAAGGAATGTGGAAAGTCTTTCTCTCAGAAATCAAGCCTAACACGTCATGAACGAATGCATACCTGAGAGGTACAAGTATTTCACTGAGAAAACACACTTTGGGAGACCACGCAAATACAACACATCCGTGACCGTGAAACAGAACGCTTTTCAAGATTATTTTTAAAACAATGTTAATTGGACATTGTGAAACGGATGTAGCGTACAAGTACAGGCAATATGATCCCAATGCAATGGTCACTGCTTACATGCTGACTTAAACATAATTTTCTTCATGCAACATTTTTACAACTGAACAGGTCTGCTACTTGCAATGTGCTAGTGCTGCACCTGCGTGCTGTATTCTTAGTGTCTTTGAATAGTATGCATATTTTCATGTCTTTGTTCACCTATATTTTTGCCCTTTTTCATGTTCTACTCTTGATTTCTTGCCTTTTCCTCTCCTTGTTCTCCCTTCTCTTCTGGTATCTCGTTTAATTAACCGCGTGCGTTGCCCAAGCCAAGACTAGGCTGACGCCGATTGCAAACACGAAAGAGCTGATCATGATGATTATGATGACCATCAAAAATGTTATCATTATACATGTAATTGTATTCCAGTTGATGTCTACAGTTTCATTTCATGTAATGCATTGAACTTAATACACAGAAGGACCGTATTTCCTTATTTAAAATGCATAAAAAGATTAATAACTTGCCCTGAAAGTTCCTGTGTGGTTCATTGTTGATAAGGGTTGTATGTCCCACTGCTCACACACGGCGGGTACGGATCTTTTCGCTGGAAGAGACTGTTTTCAAGTTCGCATAAGATGCTAAGTATTATAGGATTGTGTTTACGTTACGTTTTGTAAACTTGTAAAGTCACCTTCTGGTCCATGTCAAAAACTTGTCAAATCTTTCTGGAGGGTCAGTGTCAATATCAATCTATATGCCTGAATTGTCGCTGTGGAAATGGTGATGGGAGTACATAGTTTGGATCGGCCGAGAGCGCAATGTGGTGGTGTGGTGTATTGGATTTAAATCTTCTAATACTATATCAATGTGCAATTTAAACCTGGATGTTGAGCGAATAATAAATGTAGAAAGGAAAAGGACATATGGATACTAAGAGTGAAGAGTTTTAAAAGAGTTTTGTGCCTAGTTTTGTGCCTAGATGTTGCACTTTGTGACTGTATATAGTATCTGGTTATAGTGATGGAGAGTTACTCTTTACTCGTATCCATATGTCCTTTTCCTTTCTACTTGTACAACTACATCAATGTTCGTTTGTTTGATGGAAATGTGCAAGCCGGATAATTGAATGTCACCAACAGGTCTAGAACCTGGGACACTCGTGTACGGCCATCAATTCTCTAACATTGAGGTATGGTGTTGTGCTCATCCAAATTGCCATTTAAATATTCAACATTCTCTTCAGACTTCGAACCTCTCGCTTCCTGTGAATCCACACAGGCTCCTGGGGGACTTAGCTCTCACTGTATTTTAAACACACACACACACTTCAGGCAAAAAGTAGTAACACGCTGGTTACCCAACACACAGAGCATTTATTGGTTTGAAGGAAAGTTGAATTGGGAAAATTGGGGAAATCCTGCAGAACAAAATTGACTGTCACAACCAGCACTTGAACCAGGGGTCCTCGCCTGAGGCCAATAATGCTCTATTTGATATCTCAGGACGTATCTTACTCGACTGCATGAGACCAGTATGAGGTTGACAAATTGAATACTAGAGTAAGAGGAGGATGCAATGTCAAGGAGCTCAATACTCCTTTTCACTTCCCTGTCATTCCATCCATCCTTCCAGGACATTCCCTTGATAATTATCCATTTACTTATGGAGAATCCTTCAAAATGTACTCTGCCTCCGTTGTTTCATTCAGTCAGACTATAGTATATATAATTATAAAGTCTGCTAGTAAATTACAATACTTTCGCATATTTGTTACCTTTGTACTATAGCATTATCAGTATTATTACATTTTGAAAAGGGTTTGCTCCCCACGCTGGAGCTGGCGCTATTCCGCCGACTTGACTTGACCCTTGACTGACTCACGACTGCCATCCAGAGCACACGAGAAGTACATCGAACCTTCGACTCGGCAAACCTGCAAGAAAGCACCACTCCCTGCTCAATACACAGTGTTTCTGGGAATTCACCCCTCATCAGTTGAGCGACAGTGACTCACGCTGATATCTGGTGTCCACAAGGTGTTTGTCGCGCTGGAAACGGCCCGGAGTGTCTCGGTAAGTTTGTATCCCTGGTGATGTTATGATCTGGCGTTGCTCGAATGGTCGGGCAAGCAATGCACTGCAAGCCCTTCTGGAGCATCCCGGTACTCGAACAACGCGCGCGCAACGCAGCTTGGGCCTTCGAGTGCCCAAATCTGCCTCCAAAGCCGGCCACGACCGTCCAACCGCTCGCGGGTCCATTTTATGGAACACCCTGCCATCCGATGTGCGTGGCATTACCCAGTACCACCAGTTCAAACAAGCCTGCCTCCCGTTGTGTCTTGCTAGCAGTAGCACCCACTACTGAACACTACAGGAATCTTTGAACGTTTGCGGTACTGCACAGTACCAGTAATGTGCTTTTTACCGCCTCCCCGTTGTTGTATTCTAACGTAAACGTTATTCATTGACTGAGCGTTCTTTGCTTTGTACTACACCCTGCTATCATGGTAAGCTATTTCCTACAATATTTTACTGTTTCCATTCGCTTCCATGTAATTGGGCGACACCGCCCGTTTGGTTCTGCGAATTCAAATAAAAATGTACCTACCTACCTATGTTGGTGCTCGGAGAGCACTATATAAGTGGTGTTGTTCGGGCACAATCGTCCTCAGCCTACTGCTTTCTCGCTGCTTTCTGCCGTCAAATGGTGTGTGGGTGTGTTTTTTGTTGTAAACAACAAAATAAAACAATGCGTGGGTGGATAACAAGCCGAGCGACACGAAAGATACTACTAGATTTGAATTTTGATACATGTACATGCACACACTTTACGTACAGTATGAGTATTGCCATGTCTACATGTATATTCCCACTATCATGTGCAAACCTTCACAGTCCTTTGCACCCTGCATCTTGTGACTGTGTGGATGCAGGTGCCTTCTCCGTTAGCCCTCTTATGGCGACAGCTCTGCTGCATGATCTGGGCCGGAGACCCGACTAGTCTAGTAGTCATTACGCGTTTCTTATTGTTTTGTTGTTCTGGATAACGCTCTGCCTCCGTTGTGTCGAGCACTGTCAACACAATGGGTACATCCTCCGGTTTCATTAATTTACAGTTAACATGTTTGAATGCTGATTCCGTTCCACTTCAAATCTGGTAATTTCTTTCGTGTGTCGTTCGGCTTATTATCTACCCACGCATTGTTTTGTTTTTGTTTGTTTTTTACAACAAAAAACACACCCACACACCAGTTGACGGCAGAAAGCAGCAAGGCAACGAAGAGACATATGGAATGGCAGGAGTGGGGGAGAGACAGGGGCAGCTTTACCGACCATAGAGCATCGGCTTCATTGCGACCCAAGCGCTCCGCAGACACACATTGTCATTGTACCGATGACTACAGTAACCAGGTATGACCTGACAACGTACGTATTTCATTTTTGCGTCTGGTTTATTGGATTTGAGAAGTTTTTAAGATTTCGAGTTTGGCGTTGTAAGGGCGCGTTCAGACGACTACCGTGAATCCCGTCAAATCGTGAATGGCGATAACCATGAAGGACATTCGCACTACTGATAAACTAACGTTACCATTACGTAAGTTTTGCACCTCTGACCCCTGCACTGAGAAGGAATTTCCCTTTTTCCCAGTCTGAGGAGTGAGCACGTTTTTTTACGGCCGGAATCGAGTTACCGCCGCAGCAGCCGCAGCAGTAAAACCATTCCGCCGGTAACGTGCCAGTAACGTCACGTGATTAAATCACCTTGGAAACTTTCCCAAACGGTCATTTTTATCGGTAGTCTGAACGCGCCCTAAGCATACAAAAAATTAAGTTCTAATTCGTCCTGCATCGATATTAATTAACTAGCGCCTATAGATATGAACCTTAGGCATAAAAGTGACTTGCCGCTCCACTATATGTACATGTACATGTATCTCCTATATTTCTCTCCTCAGCTTCTTCTTCATAAGCTGTTGACGGAGACTCCCTGGATTTAGGCTAAGGCCTGTGGAGAATCCATAAAATTAATACAAATACAAAATACAATACAGTACACACACTTGAGAGGGATCAAAAGCGTTTCTTCTGTAGCTCTGCGTTTCACGGCTTTAACCGATCATCAGACAGCAATACAGTATAGAGTATAGAGAAGGTCAGTCACTGGCAAGCGAAGGTAATGATCCGTGCAAGCTATTCAATTGGACAGGTAAAGCGCCGTCATCCTCCAGCATGCCGACTGTGCACACACCAATTTGTAGTCTTTGTAGCGCTAATCGTCCTTCTGATCACGCATACATGTACATGTATTCGCATGCGCATGCGCTAAGCACCAAGCACCGTCCTCCTAGCGCTAATACGATCCCAGCTCCATGACCGAGACCGTAGACAGTCGTAGTGCAGAGTACTGGGTATACATGTACAGAACAATAAGAATGGGATGCAACTCGCTAGTGCTCCAATAGTCCTGCTGAAAGAAATCCAGTCCCGTCACTCACGTTGCCGCCTTGCAGCACCCAGTGTTCGCAGTGTTCGCATGTCTAGGGCTGGGCAACGCCCGGGCCGGTGCGTACAATACTCGAGAGTGATGTGACTGGATTTCATTGAGGGGTACTGTACTTCAATACAGTCACCTGTTACTGTGCTGAGAACGTATTGCAGGAGTTCCTTTGCCGTGTTTGCGCACAGTATGCATCCATTATGTTAGCCATGATGCATACAAGATAGTATGCATCCATTATGTTAGCCATGATGCATACAAGATCGCAACTACCGGTACTACAATGTAGTTTAGTAGGCGCAGTTCTACTCATATCAATATTGTACCTGACCATGGATGTCCACAGCAGCAGGCAGGCACAGTGGGTTGGTCAAAAACCATGATTGAGATACGAGAGGTACCTGGTTCAAGTCCTGCCTGGGAGCGGCTTTTCCAGCCGTTCTGCTGCCCACAGTCAACTGGGAACTTGTGCAAGTTGTGGCCAGGCATAAGGGGTACATGGATACGGCTAACGGAGTCTTTCTCGGCACTTGTGCCAGTGGTTGTGAGACTTATTCACTCACCCCCACCGTTAGGCACTGCATCTGCCGCTAGGGTTTACCGGGTGTTAGCGGCCGTCGTGAGTTCCCTTCGGGAAAGGACATGATAATTTACTTATGGAATTCCACTCAATTAAAGCCTCCCTATATTTTACCATCTGTTGAGAACTTATCTGAATGCATGTAGATTGACATTACATGTACATGGTATCACCTGAACATATGGGACAGCCATGTTGGTTCAAACTAAAATTTAATAGTCAACTGATGCATCTAATGGTCACAAGACTTCGGCCACTGTCCACCTGCAACGATGTCGTTCTCCACGTGTTTGGTCGCATGACAAAGATGTGAAACAACTCTATAAAGGATCGCCAATTATAAACGCATGTCGTAGGATGAGTTACATGTACTGGAAAACCACAATACGGTTTGTACTACATGACAATCAGTGCTAGGCCACACATGTAGTTTTTGGTACACACAAAAGGCACAATGCAGTTTTACAGAGTTGTCGCAACTCGGAGTTTCTTGCTCAATGCAATCATCAGGCGACTAATTAATTGCATTGAGCAAGAAACTCCGAGTTGCGACAACTCTGTAAAACTCCATTGTGCCTTTTTTGTGTAATAGTGCTCCACATTATTTTGTCGAGCCCTCTCCGCTGGTAGAAGGAAGTTTTCCTCCTTGTAGTTTTTGGTAGATTTTTGTTTGTGACCAGACGAGCCCAGACGACGCGTGCACTTGCTTGCACACGACGCTACCACTATTATTTGACCGACCTACTGAAGATGGCATCAAGAAATCATGTAGTTTTTGTCGAGGATTGAATAACATCTGCGTGCAGCCTTTGGGGAATACTATAAAAATAGAAATGCCACGCACGATACTTATGCAACAGCCTAGTGGTTAGAGAATCGCTGCAACACATGTAGAGCGAAGGTTCTTGCTTCGAGTTCTTTGGTTGACAGTCAATTATTCTTCAATTTTTTTAACCTTGTATCTCCCTTTTCTGTCCCATCCAATTGGCATTGAGTAGCAGACCGGTGCTTGCGCGCCATTCCTTTGAAACAGCCAGTGGCTACAGTAGAGTTGAAACGAGTATATATTGTGATCCATCGATCACTCATTCACAAGATAATTAATATTCAATCAAGTATTCGATTATTTCGAGTGCTTTAGCAACATTCAAAAGTGCTAGATCTGTGAGTTGTCGACCAATTTGGAACAAAGTATACGTGAACACAACACAGAGCAAAACGTTCCTCGCTCCTCAGTAACGCTCCGGATACACCTAAATTTACATTCACACAAAGACAGAAACGCTGAACAGGGGAGGGAGGGGGGGGGGGGTGGATAAATGGTGGAGCTCACGAATATCAAGTAAGTATGATTGGAAAGGAATGGAATTTGGAATCGCTCACCTGCGCTATCTTACGTGAATTTCCAATAATCCTCGACGAACCTCTTTGTTTTCACTTTCAGATGCGCTTGCGCACTGGTAGACATCATTACGACCCAGCAGTCACGTTGAGTAACCATGCATTCAGCAGCCAGCAAGCAACATAATGTTTACATGTGCTTATAGATTTCCTTTGTAATCTCATCATGACCAAGTGTACAACTGGAACAATGCTACATTTCGTTGCTACTTATAACACTAGGTACGAACCATTAGCCCCATTGTTGTCGGATGATAAGCCGAACAGCCATGAATCCCCTGAATAGCAGCGAACTGTAGCCCTGTTTCATTGAAAGATGTACTACTGCCAGTACTGGGATTACGCCTTGCCTTTATGATGCCGTGGAGCACATTTTTAACGCTTGTATTTAAATCAAGTGTATACTCAATGCGTTTTGGCTAGGAGTTACTGAGTCTTTCGCACAGCTAGGGAATGTACTGGTCGTCTATAGTGCTCACCTTCAGTATTCAAAGCAGAAGGTAGTTTTCATGCTTTGGATTTTGGATTGGATTTTATTTATAGTGGTGACTATAACAGACAATTGCCTAATAACAATAGACCCACTCGAGGGAAAGATGTAAAAATGTTTCGAATGCTCGACTGCACAATAACTCAGGAAATCACCATTCTAAATGAACATTCGTGAACTCGACTCCAGGCTGTGTGCTTTCCGTGCGTAAACACTGCATTTGTAAGATTCGCCCTTATCGACGAAATACAAGATTTCCGCGATGACAATTCTAGAACACTATGTAAGGGCGCAGCTTTTAGCTGCAGAGCATTAGGCTGGGAGCTCCCATGAAACCAAAAAATTTTACATTAGGCTGGGATCTCCCACAGACCCACCCCTTGTGGGAAGTTGAGTGGGAGCCCTGCAATATTTCCTGGGGTTACAGATAAAATTGAACTCTGAATGAGACCTACATGTTCATGTACGTACATTATATAACCTAATACACTGCACTAGTTCAAAACTAGTACAGTGTAGTATTAGATAAACCTTGTTATAATCAATCTAACAATATGTACGTACATGTACCTAGTACTGAAGTAGCATACAAAAAAGATTCTTACTCGTTCTGTTCTTTGTGTACATCTTGTACAGCACAACGTACCTTCACATTCTCCCCACGTTTTGCCTTTAGGCTTTACAAGTGCACCAAGCAAATACGGAGACGATAGACGACCGGAAAATAAGACTCCATAATAATTTTATGCATGTACTGCATTACGCTCTGCCCTTGTTAGGGTATTGAGTAGGCCTTGGCGGATAACGCCGGCAGAAAAATTGGCAGAATTCGGTACATTTTCTGGTAAGTTTCATGCATGTTTGGTATGTGGATAAAGAAATGGAGCAGAATTCGAGGAGTTGCCCGCCATAACGTTTGTATGGTTCTGCCAATTTCACTGCATTTCGAGCAGAATCTGCTACCTTTTCTAGCATTATCCGCACACACAGTCGAACCGTGCAGAAACAACACGTTGCGGAGCTGTCGAGTCTACCACTAGTACAAGGGTGGCTTGCAGAAATGACGCCGACACAAAAATTACATGTACATGTAGGAGAGTGTAAAACCACAATTGCATCACCATGCTCCTAATGAAATCCATAGACTTGTAAAAGCATGCCTTAAAAGGCGCGACAGTCTCCACACACGTATAATACACACCCACACACAAACTCTCTTTTCCGAAGCCATGATTGCTGTAAAATGCAACACGCATCAACCAACTTTGGGATCCCCTACACACTCGGGTATATGCACACATCCACACGCACGCGCACGCCCTCGCGCTCCCGCACACACACACACGGGCGCGCGTGCGCGCACGCACACACACACACACACACACACACACACACACGTACATACACATACACACACATACACATACACACACATACATACGCACATACAAGGAAAGAAAGGAAACACATTATGCACATGGTACATGTATACTGGTCCCTATCCCCCCACCCCAACCCTCTCTCCCCTTGTACATACATGGCATACGCACCTCGTCAAGATGTACACTGCCCTGTAAGCAAACACTAAGTACTATACGTACGCACGGTTGACGGTTCCATACCCGAGCCCGTAGCGACTCTCTGAGCCTCCACGCTTCTCAGATACCTAGAGCAATGGGCAAATCGGCCCAATGTACTGGTGCTGTAGCGACCTGCTCGTTCGGCACGACCGGCGGTACATCAGCAGTTCCTGCACGACAACGGGTGAGCACGTCTCCTCTGAACACCTACACACCCGAACCTGCCACAGCAAGGCATGCTTCCGACATGACTGCGTGCTACCATGTACGGCTTCGGCGGTCGATGGTCAGCGCGCTATGCTGTGCACGCTAGCATTGTGTTGGTGGGTGCGGAGCAGGATAGGCAACACCAACACGCTGTCGACATACTCCGCTAGCGGGGCGTTAGTGGCAGAGAGCCAGTGAAGCTGTCCGCTGTCAACCTCTCCCCTTTCCCAGCCAGTCATGTGATTGGTGCAAATCAGGGTAGAATGAGGTAGTGCTGAGCGTCGCTACATCTAAAGAGTTAGGACGTGAGCGCCCGGTTCATAGTGTGGCTCAGACTGTGTTTGACCGTGCACTGTAGCATCGCTACCAATGCCGCTTGCAATTCAGGCAGCAGTCAGTGAAAGCCGCACATCCAGTTTCAGTTTCGGTGCTGACCGTAATCCCCATCGCGTCGCTAACTGACGGACTCGAAGAGCGCTGGCAGTTCCGCCGTCACTGAGACCTATTTGACTTGGCTTAGCATCCTAGTTACCACACGGACAGACTGGATGCGCTCGTTCCTTGTGGAGGGGCTCGCACATTGGAGTTAGTTTCTTGCAGACCAGCGTCTGAACGGGCTTGAAGAGAAGTGCCGAGGAATGATTCTGGGCAGGATCCAGACCACAAAGACAGTGTTCCTTATTCCCCTAGAGTAGCTGGAACAGAAAAACCAGTGCTTTACTTGTGGAGTCGCTGAGGACGCAGAACTGGTGGAGGAGGAGGTGAGGAAGGAGACACAGCAAGCATGGCAGCGGGGAAGCTGCTTTGGCTGTCGTCAGCACTGGCATTCAGTGGCTTGCTACCAGCGCTCGTCTCTACTCAGGCGACCACGGCCAACACATGCGACAGCTCGGCGTTAACATTCGATAAAGTATCGCAGGAGGTACTGCAGCACTTGCCACCCAGTGGAGATGTCTTCCAGAGTGGTCCACCAGATATCGCCTACAACTGTATCGCGTATGGACGCAACCCCAGTCGGATAAAGGAAGCCGTTATCACAGGAACGATGGGCTTGGGTTATGAAGTAGTAACGCTACACTATCGCTGCCATGAAGCAACTGGCAAAGTGAATGTTGTCCGAGTGCCAACATTCCTCCCTAGCCTACACAACGCCACTGTGGACTGTGCTGCGTGTAATCCACTGGCGGCGGACATGTGTGAAGGTAAGACATTCGGTGCTGGATTTCTACTGTTTGCGCGTGTCTGCAAAGGTAACTAGCCACCTTGGGGATGCAAATAATAATAATCTCTACGTGTGTAAGTAAGACCGTGTTTTGTGAGCGTGTACGTGGCGTTTGCTTCGCACTCGAGTCCTCGAGATGGCGCAGCATTCTCGCCTCTTGCTCAATGCCTCCCGCTTTCAAATTGCGCGAATGGAAGTGCAGCAGGGGAGCTGCTGGTGTGAATATGACTGCACTAGCACAGGTGCCTGCCCTGGCAATCCTATCAAGTAAATGTAGTCACCTACAGGCCCATGTAGGTCATACTTAGCGGTACGACTATCGGCTCCGTGTCTCACTCGTCCACAGAAGTCGCACATCTCACTGCGATCATTCACGACTAGTGGCGCACAGCTTATTGTGATATGAAACTAACACGACTCGTGTCAACCACTCTCACTTTCGGTATGGCCTGGCTTCAAATTATTAATATGATGCACAGTCAGTAGAGCTGCGCCACTACAGCATTTCCAGTGGTAGTATTGTCAGCACCTACATCGTTTATATTCAGGAAGGCGTTTCAGCGTGTGTAGACCATCATCGTGTGATTACTGAACCCTCCCTCTCTGAGGGTCTTTGCAAATATCCGCGATATTCTTTGACCGGTTTCTTATTCGCACGTTGGGCTAGGAGACTAAACATTTTACATGTGTGTCACACGCAGTTTGCGCAGTCATTAAAAAGAGACGGTGGTGCATAAGGGGAGGCATTTTGAGTTCTAGGATCACTCGCTATCAGTTACGGTATCTCTACTCTATCTTTATCTTGCACATTTGGGAAGCGCCCAGTGGCCAAAAGGCAGGTATTTGCAAGGCAGTTCTAACAGGCTTTATTAAACTGGTCGACATGAGTGCAGTGCAATCATTCTAAGCATAGACAATGCCATACGTGATCTGTCTACAACATAACGACGCTTATATGCGCCAATTGTCGTTTGGAGAAAAGAGCGAACACAATAGATGGCTGAATCAGTAGAGATCCCAAGACACACAGCCTTGAATAGGTCGCGTTGCGCCCATCACGTAAGCAATCTACGTCTTCATTCTCTATAGCTCGGCTTACCTAAAATGTACACGACTAGCACTCAGCGGGAACATTGTCCCATCTCATTGGCGTATCGGGTTACATGTGCACTTGATACAGCAGCATTAGCTAGCCCGTGAAAAGAGTTTTATAGTGGACAATGTGAGGCCACTGCTGGTTTTCGCAAAAACATGTGAATGCATGTTGCTTAGCCCAATGATGTTGAATATGCTTGGCTATCTTTCCTGGATGTCGTGGGGTGGATATTAGAGCGAGAAGGAGTGTCGCCTATATCACTTCAAGTTGCATTACATGCGCGCTGTAATCATTATTGCCATGACGTCAACAGAAAACACCCAATGGAGGTAGCCTATTCGGTAGAGAGCAGTTTGGGTAGGTTTTTCTGTACCTACTTGCACTCTAAGCAATGTACTGCAACGCAGAAGTCTTTGATGAGGAATTTGCTGTTCCTCTTGTGCGGCGACCAGTGCGTTACCAGTGGCTGACGACTAACGCAAATGCATTCTACGGATCCTCGGCTGAGAAGCACAAACTCTTGACTAGAGGGTGAGGGTGTTCCTAAGCAGCGTGAAATTGTGTACTTGTAGGTGGAATCCGTTCTGGAATTCCGTGCAGTGCATGCTAGAAGATGGATGTTCAAGCTTGGAATTTGCAATAGTCGTCAACATCACCCTATGCATAGGACATGCCACGAAGTGGGCTCTTCGTTCCAGTACTATACTCTATAGGCCAAACTCGGGTTACGCAGACCAAGCCATGATCATTTTGGTCACGCCAAATGCATTGTGCAGGTCCACACGGCCACTCGAAGTACTTGAGTGCCTCTACAGTGTCTGCGCCACCAAGCAGTCAGACCTACACGAAGTGTGTGGCTGACCATGCACTTGAAAAGATGTCTGCACACTTATCACATCGGTCATCAGCATCTACACTCCACGGCTGTCTCACAGTGCGTGATCTAGTGCACAGCAGCGTGGGTACGAGTACAGGCTCTGTAGTCGTGATTGCGGGGAAACCCCGCACTCAAATTCAAAAAAATTCTCAAACTTGCTCGACGCGATCGTCGACTTATGCTGATATCGAGGCCCTTCTGAGCTGCACGGAACAACGAGAATCACAACAACTAGCTCTATACATGCGGTAGTGTAGGGCCTTGCAGGAACCGAGCCGAAAAAACTGTTTCTTTCTCGATCGAACTGTTTCTTTGCTGACTTCCTTGTTGAACGCTGCTACGTAGTGAGACTTTGGTAACGATTCGAAGTGGATTTGGAGACGCCTGGTATACCCTACTGGAGCAAACGCCACGGCTTTGGGAGGTTTTTCCAGGTAGGACTATCTCTTGTTTCCACGCTCAGAAAAGTTCTTCGTGTTCTGAAGGGCAGATCCATGTTCTCGGCGACTTACCCGAAGGTACATTGTGCTTGTTTTCAAAATTTTCAAATTTGTGTGCATAGGTTGTGTGGAGTGTTACGATGGATCCTGATCATGACTATGCGTTTCATGTGGAACATTTGCATTCCCTATGTCGTTTGGGTGGCTGCAAGCTACCAACCCACCGTAAGGGCAACAAGTCATGGAGTGCCCCAACCTATAGTGTCAAGGATTACTCCCTAGACATATTTCGTGCGTTTGGTGAGAAAGTGGAAGGAGATAAGGAGGATATACACCCAAGTCATTTTTGCAAGGCGTGTTTTGATAGCATGACGTCTGTCATGAAGACAGTAGGAAGTGGTGCTGTTGCTAGTATTAGTGGTGGTTGTGGTCAGAAACTGCCAGCTTTGCAACAATGGTCTGCACATACAGACACGAAGTGCAGCATTTGCACGGCTATTGCTGCGGCCAGAAAGGGTGGCCGACAAAAGAAAGCCAAATCCCTTCACGGTGTGTGTGCGGCGCCACGGCCTACTCAACCCTCCCCCACCCATGGTACCGATGTGGACCCGGAAAAGCTCTCCGCATTGTGTACTGGAAGCCATGTGTGTGGATTGCCTCTGTCGCCAGACAGATTCACGTTCGTACCGAGTTCGTTGGTCTGCCCTATTTGCGGCCTTGTCGTGAATTGTGCTGTGGAATCGCCGTGCTGCAGCAAACTGTTCTGTGTGTCGTGCATTGTGGGTTGGCTGGGAGCCAGCACTGTTTGCTTTTCATGTAAGCGTATGGTGCTATTGTCAGGTTTTAAACAACCACACGTATTTGCTAGCAGCACACTACCTGAGCTTGTTGTGTCTTGTGACAATGTTGGTGAGTTAGCTTTTGAGGGCTGCCCAGCAAGAGTTCCCCTCGGAACATTGAAGCAGCATGTAGCGGACTGTGCCTTCAGCAAGAACCCGCCGCCCAAACGATATTTGTCGCCAGCGTCTACAGTTGGTAGTGTCCTGGACGCTCCGCCCAGTGTCCTTCAAGGCGATGTCGGGTCGAAGCTTCTCACAAAGCTTATCGAAGCTCGATCCGATGATGGTCGCCTTGAACAGCGTACCCGAGGCAGTACCTCCATGTGGCACCGCGTTCCTGTCGCCAGGGTGTCATCTGCGGATGCCTCCTCTGCGACTCTGAGAAGAAGGGAAAGCCTTCTCACTACCATCCAGGAAGCAGCATGTGGTGGAGCGAAAGGAAAGGATGCGCAGAGCATTCACGCCCTGCAATCATTGCGTACGGCACGACGTGAGGATCTTCTGCGAGAGGCCGGGTTGCTCCCAGAAGGCTTGACCAAGGGGATTGGACTTGCCATCAAAGCTGACCTCCAACTTCCTTGGAATGGCTTGCGGAAGCTTCGCCGCTACCTAAAGTTGTGTGGTCTGCCACTAGAGTCGGAACGGGAAATGCGGAAGCAGTTGTCGGAAGAGCTCCCGTTCCCTCTCGTTGCTGAAGAAGTTCCTCTTCTTGATAGCTCTGGCACCGTCGTGATGAGCCCAGTCGTGCGCTTTGAGGACCTCGTGCAGCTCGTTCTGCACTTTGTTGAGCTGAACGAAACAGCGGGCACGTTGCTTTGGAACGGGACACTGCCAGAAGATGAGCTGTGGGTGAAGATTGGAGGGGACCATGGCGGTCATTCATTTAAGCTTTGCTTCCAGCTCGTGAATGTTTTGCACCCCAACTCCCTGAGCAACACTGTTCCCTTCTTGGTGTTCGCTGGAAAGGACTCGCCCTCCAATTTGGCAACGATGCTTCAGCCGTACGCTGAGCAAATTGCCAACCTTCGCGGATCGACATGGAAGGGTAAGACCATCAAAGTGTGCCTCTTCGGGGATTATGATTTCATGATGAAGTTGTATGGGCTGTCAGGAGCAAGTGGTGTCAGACCCTGTCTGTTCTGTTTGGCCACCAAGAAAGACATGCAGCAGACACATGACACTCCCTTCCCTGACAGAACCCTTGCCACTTTGAGCGAAGACCATGGTCAGTTTGTGGCATCTGGGTCCAGACTTCAAAATGCCAAACAGTTCAACAATGTCATCAGACCCCAAATCCTCCCGATTGACATTCGTGATGTGTGCATTCCCATACTGCACCTTGATCTTGGTATTTTTCCTCTGCTCTTTGAGGCAATGATCAGAGATGCAGAAGCCATTGACCTCATGCTGGCAAGATCGATCAACGCAGAATCAGCAAGCGCAACATTCAAGGAAGTAGCCGAGAAACAGCAGCAGCTATGGGCACTGCTATCAGAGAAGGCAGAGCAAGAACAGCAGCTTTATGTTGCACAGACGCAACTGCAATGGGCATTGCTGAATGCAGCACAAGCGGTGCAAGCAAATCATGCGGCAGAAGCACAACACGCAGGGTTTGCAGCTCAGTTACAGCAGCACTGGGCAACACAACAGCAGCAATTAAATGAGATCAGCGGCCGCATCGCTCATTTAGAGGAGCAGCTCGTGGGTGCTAAGGTCAAGAATGGTCCTTGCGCTTCGTCCTTTGAACCGGTTTTGGTGAAGCACAGGATCGATCGGCAGGCCTATCATTCTGGCGCGTTTGTAGGTAACCACATCAACAAAGCACTACAACCGTCAGTAACTCGTGAAATTGTATCTGCTCCGGTCAATGTAGTCGCCTCTGTTGTCAATCCTGATGGTGCTCACTTTGCTCCGACACAGTCTCAGCATCAACTGATCCAAGCTGCCGCAGAGTGCTCCCAGAGGTACCTGTCGCTTTTTGCTGCGTACGCCAGTTGCAGAGCCGTCTTCTCTTCGACTAGCGCAGCTGACGACACTGTCACTTCCAGCTTGCAGGAGAAGATCAATTCCTTCATGGCGAATGTCCGGTCCGAGGTAGTAGCACGCCACAAACGCCCTGTAACTCCTAAGTTGCACCTTCTCGAGTGTCATCTTGTCCCCTGCATGGAGAGGTTTGGCATGGCTCTTGGTGCTCTTGGAGAGCAAGGTGGCGAGTCCATCCACCACAAGTTCAACATGTTGCGCCACACTCTGCAAAATACGAACAAGGATGTCGACCGCCTCAGGATTCTAGTGGCCCAGTACCTGACGACAGCGCTGCCAACTCACAACAAGCTGATCGTGCCGGCTGCCAAGCGCAAGAAGACAAGCTAGCAATAAGCTGACTATGTGACGGCCACTGGGTGGATCATGGAGCGAGCTGCAGGATCCACGCGCTCCACAGGTAAAGTATTTCTGACTGTGTTTCTGAAATTGAAATGTACTAGTAGTCTTGTCAATTTCTTACAATGTTGGACACACAGCAGGTAGAACTGGCACAGACAATGTTGAGTCAAATCCACAAGCCATGCTAAGAACATGGCTGGATATCAGGTGAGGGGCGCTTCTTCAGGCAGGCTGGGGCAGGTAAGTCAAACCAACTACCGACATGAATTACTCGTTCAATACTACAAAATTATTCACAAGCTCAAAATGCTACGATTCAACGCAAGGTAGGGTGCTCCTTGAAAGAGAGTGAAACAGGCTGGGCCATGGGGCGCAGGTAAGTCAAATCCACAGGTTGAAGCTATAAATCCACAACATAACGTCAGGCTGAGAGAATTGGCAGCTGATCCTGTTTCTAAAATATTACTTTGCTGGCGAACTATAAAATTCTGAACGCCGAGGTAGGTGGAACTGGGGCGCTCTTTCAAGAGCGGGTGGCAGGTGGGCCAGGTAAGTCCATTAGACACGTTGAAGCTATACATCTACCATATTACGCTAGGCTGAGAGTAGCTTTGGCAGCTAATTGTGATTCTAAAATATTACTGTTCTGTCTAACTGCAAATTCTGAAAGTCGAGGTAGGTGGAACTGGGGCGCTCTTTGAAGAGCGGGTGGCAGGTGGGCAAGGTAAGGCAATTCAACATGTTTGAAACAATAAAGTGTGCATGTCACAACCATACCTCCAAAGGACTCGTCTTCCAAAGCTAAAACTCCAAAACGATGAACGAAGCGAAGTATGCTTCGAGTGGTTCTTCTTGAACATTTTTCGAAAATCAATGCAAAACGTGCATTGTTGTACAAAAATTGTACGGTCGCTTCGCTGACGCGTACGCGACGCGCGCGGATCACCATCACAACCTTTTGCGAAAAAAGTCGGTAAAAAAGACGCCATCTTACCATATGCACAGCGCGAGTCAGCCGTGACTCGGCTACAGTATCATTGCACGCGCACTAAGAATGCTCTTCAATGTGATACACACTACTGAGTCCCGCGCGCGGCCCGGCGTTTAGTTCTCACGTTACGAGTTCCGCTCCGCGTGGTTGACGCTGTTCCCGCCGCAATGTGTGGAGCACAAGCTCTGGGCGGTATACCTGGTATACCGTATAGCATAATTATACCATAGGGCAGCGGCCAAGTGGGGAAATCGTCAACACCAATGCTATGCTGGATACAACGTTGTTGATTGACAGCATGTAACAAGATGGAGGACCACCGTGTTCGGAAACAGCGACCTTTCTGCAACCTTTTTTTTTACTAAGTCCACTGTATTCCCGAATGAATGCGGAAAGTGGTGGCGGAGCCATGCTGCTCAGCCGACCTTGGTGGTCTCGGCGTCTGCACAGACAAAGCGCGCCAAGAAAAGAAGGCCGTAAGAGAGAGGGAAAAACAAGACTATCCACGGTTGGTAGAGCCCCGGTCTTTTACCATGGATGGTTGTAGAAAGGTCACTGTTTCCAAACAAGATGCTCCTCCACCTTGTTACATGCTGCTGTCAATCAACAACATGGTTCAGCAAAACAAGGTTTATCTAATGATTGAGACAACGTTACGTGTACAAACGGTCATGGTTGTCTGATCCAGCGTTACACTACCGCCTGTCAGAGCATGGGCGACATGGAGCGGATGCCACCACATGGAACAACGAATCATCAACATCAAAAAACGATGTCATTGGAAGCATTTTTGACCGCTTGGAGATACTTGCCAGCGCTAATTTTGAGGCGTATAAACAACGCCATTGAAGGCCTGTGTAATGCTTGATTAGTACCGCAGCCGCAGTGGCCGTGCTTACCGAATATGGTCAAGCCGTATACTGTACGCTTGCATCGCGTTCTGTGCGCTGCCTTATGACGACAGCCGCGCAGATATTTCTGTGATTTGTTCCCGGGCTCCCCATCAGTTCTACCACATCCCTAATTCCCATAATCTAATCCACTCGAGATGCTACTGAAACGGTAGGCGAGCCCAGCAGTCTCATATGCTGGCAGCTGCAAGGCACAACTGGGCCATGTACTCGCCCACGGGGTGATATTCCCTGCAGCAATTTAGACCGGCTGTCCCGAAGCCGACGGGTCGCTCCCGCATGGTTTGAGCCTTGATCAATTTGTGATTCAGAATAACATGTCACTGAAGACGAAATTGAGTGTCGCCATCAGGACTCGAACCAATGATCTTCACCTGAGACCAGCGGTGCTCTAACCACTGAGCTATGCCTATGGTGCAACTGTTGAGTATTATACGGAAATAGCACACACAGAGGCAATGCCCCATCCTTGTCGGTGGTGTTGAGCACTCTGGGCAATCTGGGAACTCTCGCTATTACGGAAATAGTACCCATGGTTAGCTAATAGGCTGGCAAGTAGCGCCATAATAATCCAACTCGCAGCCACAGAATGAGTACCATCAGGGTGGCAAATGCAACCCAGTGCAGTGCAGTGCAGTGCAGTGCAGGCAGTGCAGTGCAGTGCAGTACAGTGCAGTGCAGTGCAGTGCAGTGCAGTGCTGGACTCAGAACCACGGTAGACCTGCACTGTCGACTGAACGAGAGTTACTCAACTAATCAATGCTACTGGCCGCTATAGCTGCGGGTATGATTATAAGATAATTATCTCTACGTATTATTACAGCGTGTAAACACACATACATGTAGTGGTAGTGTGACCTTTAGTCAGGCAGAAGCAGCTGACATCTATTTCGAAGTACATGAACACATAGCCTCCCCTATTTTGACAGTATGTGCTGTGTGTTGACGTTTGACAAATGCCTGTCAACCGACATTGCGTCCCACGTACAATCATGTACATGGCTGTACAGTCATTTCCCGGTACGGTGGTGCACAGTCATGAACCTGTACGGTGACGTTGCAAGGAATGCAACTCACATCGGTTCTGCGGGTAACCTATTTTCCGTGTCAGCGCCTCGGCGCCAAACTAGCCGCCTCGTTGGACACTATGAACACGCTCGAGGCCACATGGAAAGCGGCGACAACCCGAGTGCGGGTGATATCGACGGGCGCCTCGCATTGCGAAATACTTGCGCGGTGCGGGAGTTTCCGAAAAAAAGTTTGAATCTCTCGCTAGAAGCAGAAATGAAATCTCTGGCTTGCTCACGCACACTGTTTGCCTCAACCCTTCTTCCTCTGCGTGTGTAGCGTGCGACCCGAGTTGTTTGGATGGCACGTGTTTCTCGTCGGGAAAAAGTGGATGTTGCAATTACATGCAAGATGGCCAGTGCATTGCAGAGTGTAGTGGCAACAGAGTTGGAGACAACAGCACCAAGCTATGCAGCTGTGCACCCAACTGGTCGGGTCTGAACTGTGACGGTAAGACACACTATCTCACTATCCCTGTTACTCCTTCGTTTTCTTTGCATGCGGACCATTAGACTCCTCACATTATTTGTCCAGTAGGGATGATGGTGTTTTCATACGAACACCTCACAGGGATTCAAGACGTCTTGATCTTGAAACTGTGGTCAACTACTCCAATAATTACGTGTCGTTCCACCAGTCATTGTGCCCAAGTCTTTGCATTCGACTTTGTTTTTCACTGGCAAAGTGTGTCGTTAGCTCAAAAGATAAAATGGCGACGACAATCGGGGCCAATCCAAGACAGAATGTGGCATGATCTGGTGCATTTTCAAAACCTTGTCGAGGCCCCGTAGCAGAGGAATGCCCAATCTGGACCGTGATCCTTGCAAATATCAAAATGTTCCACCTTCTACTTTGGTGTCCAAGCAGCGAATCATTTCTTGGGAAAATTCAATTGTTTATCTTGCGGTGCTGCAATTCGTTCTCCTGGGTCTTACAATCCTGGCACATATCATGGCAATCCCTTTATAAGAGCTTCCAATTGTGATGGAAGATTCTGTTACATTTACTTAGAATGGCAGCACAAAGATCTGAAATATCCTTGTGCAGCCATTGTGCATTATATAGCTGCGCATGAGATGCATGACACCAAGAAATTGTTCTTTACACAAAGGGGGGGGGGGGGGGGGCGATATCAAAATTCCACTCCACATGCAACAGATTTACTAGGACTTCAGATACCTAGGAAGTGTAACATGAACATACTGCAACTTAGCAGGCGCTGTCCGGCTGATGAGGCTATGGCCGCACCAATGTTTTCAGCACTAATATCTGTTTACTGATGAGAAAGCCGTGTGCTTACCTGCAATATATCGCACAATGTACAAACGGCTAGGGTAACCAGGGTAACTAGGGTAGGGCGGCCGGACCAATGAAAAAATTATTCCACCGGTCTGGGTAAAAGGAATTATCTATGTGTGACGTTGATCATGGTTGTGTCTTTGTACTGAACTGTTCGCAGAATGCACACTTCAATGTGAGAACAATGGAGTGCGCAATGCCAGCTGTTCAGCTTGCAGTTGTCCAGAAAACTATGGCGGTAAGTTGCTGAGTTATGACTGTTAGATACTTGGGCCAGTGTAACCATGAATAGAGCAGATTGAGGAAAATTCTCCTGTTCGTGTAACTGAGATGTATCCAGTTTTTGTTATTATATATACCTATAGTACAAGAGTGCTTTATCTAAATAAATTATCTATAGCATACTGTCTGGATCGCATTGCGCACACAGCGAGGCTGTGATGGGGAATCCACGGAGCAGAGACCGTGACGGAGCTATATACTGGGGACGCTGTAGGTTCTGGAAATGTAATCTACGTTCATGCATTCACTCACGTGCATAATCTGGAGCTGGGGGTAGTGATAGTGGACCACCTCTTCTATGCTCAACACCAACTTAAAAGACTGTATTGTTGTGGAAATGATTATCACACCTGATCTTGTAATGACATCGTGATTATGTCGTGGTGATGTCATTGGGATGTGCTGTTTGCTATGTTCATGCAGGAGTGCAGTGCGAGATTGCGCTGCCCTGTGCCACACAACCGTGTCAGAACAGTGCAGCATGTGTGAACAATAATGACAGCACCACCACTGCCACCGCCGCCGCGGCAGGTCCAGCACTGGAGACTGGTGGCGGACTACCAGACTTTGCACTGTCAGCGCCGTACACATGCATATGCCAGGAGGGGTACACGGGCGAGCGGTGCCAGACGGAAATGGACGTGTGCGACTCATCACCGTGCGGTAACAGTGGTGCGTGTCGTAGTCAACGCGGCGACACCGCAGGGCTCCACAGCTTCGTCTGCGAGTGCACAGAGGGTTTCGTCGGGCCGCTGTGCGATGTAGAGCTGCCTCATCCGTGTGAAGATCCGGCCGTGAAGGTGTGCGCGAATAGTGCCGGATGCATAGCGACGACTGGCCGTGCGTACGTCTGTAACTGCACCGAGGGATTCCATGGACAGCAATGTGAGCAGGGACCGTGTGAGGACAGCCCTCAAGCGTGCAAGTAAGTGAAAAAGTGTGAGAGCAAAACAAAAGTAAAAAGTGCGAGTGTAATAAAGGTGCGAGTGCGAGAACTAAAAAAATAAGCGAAAAAGTCGTACTAATGATCCCCTCTGGCACTACATTGATGATGTCAATATGGCAGTAATGTGGGATCTCATTGAGCACTGAACTATGCAATGTGGAAGTTAACACATGGAATCTTCACTGCTACTCCCTGGTCACTTTTGACTAAACCCGCCTGTACATGGATGCTGCTGCTTCGCGTTTTACGGGTGGATGGTAATCAGTAATCAGAATCCAACCGAGATACAGCAGCTAATGACGATCACAAAGCATCCGTAACAGCAGTAGCAATCTGTACCCTGTCTCAATGGGCACATATCTGTCAAGTCTGCTTGTCTAGAAATACCATAATGACGCGTATAAAAGCAGGTGCTTACGGCCGTATAAGCCGATATCAGCGCTAGGCTTCTATTCAAGTCACGTATCTCTATGTATGTCAATACTAAACCAGGCGTATGTGCTGGCAGCATATCTTAAAATCAGGCTTGTATTCAAAACAGGCTTCTCTACGAAACAGGCTTTTATTCAAGACACTACAGTTTGCAAGATGTTTTCACGCCAGCCTATGAGGGAGCCTGACACAACCTTGGACATACCATGCTACATACTCAACTGTCTGTGCACTGCTTATTTGTGTTTGCCTTGCATCAGGAATGGTGGTGCATGCCATAACCTTCCATTTGGTGAATTGACATGTGATTGCTTGGAATCCTTCACCGGCCCTGGCTGTGAGTTTGATATGGCAGATCCCTGCTTCACTGCACCGTGTCTCTACGACGGGACATGTACATCCACGGGACAAAACTACAGCTGTGGTTGTCCACCAAACTTCTCAGGCAAGAACTGTGAAGTCGGGCCATGCGAGGTACGTCACAGTGCATGGGGATTCTATCAGGGGGTTTTTTCATTTAGGAACTCGCACAGCATTAAGTTATGGTTGTGCAGTAAACCTCTATTTCAGTTACCACAAGTGTGATATCTTGTCTGAGATCCTAAAGGCCCTCCACCTGCCTGGGGACTCAACGGGTTGGTAGCGGTTTCCGTGAGCTGCCTTGGATATTTAAACCTGCTATTCCTTTTCCCATTTTCCGACTCCCTCAACCTGATGAATACGTTTATGTATTGGGACTCCCAGCGTGCTAGTTTGTACGTGAAGTGTGTGGGTTACAGTGAGGGTTGCGTCCCACAATCCTGCATGAATTCACAGGACGCGTGACTTTAGAGTTCTGGACAAAATGCTGAGCAGCCGCTGTTTGGGTGACAACTGCACCATAGCTTAGTGAGTAGAGCATCGCTGGCCATAAGGGTCCCTGCTTCGAGTCCTGGCGGTGACAGTCAACTTGTTTCTTCCGACTTTCCCCTATTTTCCGATTCCCGGAACCTGATGAATAAGCCTTTCCATGCATTTCATTCAAGCCATCTGAGTTCCATCCATGTGGAAGCTGTGCTCTACTTCAGTTCCGTCTTTGACATGTGTGAGAATTGAAATTTTGGAATTCCTCTACTAGTACTTCGAAGTATAATTTGGACCTCAGAGATGTATTGTTGTTTGAAGCCCAATCCAATTTGACCTGTTTTCTGATTTTTGTGATTTCTGTGTGTTCCCTGTCCAGGTGAATAACTCACCTTGCTTCAACGGGGGTCAGTGTCAGAACAATGGAACGACTACTAGTGGTATGGACTGTGAATGCGTGGAGGGTTTCTCCGGTCCGCTGTGCGAATTCGATTTGGCCGATCCGTGTAGTAGCTCTCCGCCCGTATGTGAGCCGCATGCCACGTGCCGCGTTCAGGCGGACACCGGCACACCGGTGTGCGATTGTCCAGAGGGCTTCTCCGGCACGCGCTGCGAGAACGGGCCGTGCCAGTCTCAGGCGGTGCCGTGTGAACATGGCGGAACCTGCGTCAACAACGCTAACAGCACTCTGTTCTGTGAGTGTCTGGAGGGCTACGGCGGAGAGAAGTGTGAGTTCGTACCCGGTCACCCGTGCCTGACGTTCCCCTGCGTCAACTCATCGTGCCAAGCCGGCACGGCCATGGAGTATAGCTGTGAGTGTCCGCCCGGGTTCGAGGGTAAACACTGCGATGTCGGTCCGTGCCAGAAACTCCCAGCACCGTGCCAGCACAACGCTACGTGCGTGAACCAACCAGCCGGTGAGATCGAGTGTGTCTGTCTCGAGGGCTTTGCAGGTCAAACTTGCCAGTTTGATTTGTCCGACCCGTGCCATTCGTCGCCATGCCCTGGCAATGACTCCACGTGTGAGATGCTGAGTGGGGAGCAATATCGCTGTCTTTGCCCTGCCGACGTGCAGCACCCGGAGTGTTATGTAGCCCCATGCGAGGCCAATCCCGATGCCTGTCTGAACGGAGCGTCGTGCGTGGATGGCCCGATGGACGAGGTGGAGTGCGTCTGCTTAGACGGCTACGTTGGTCATGATTGCGGCATGCATATGGACGACCCGTGCAGCTCTTCACCGTGCCCGCAGAATGCCTCGTGCGTATGGGACACTGGTGTTGACTTCAGATGCCACTGCCCTGAGAACGACACAAGCAGCGAGCTTTGCTATCAGGAACCGTGCGAGAAGTACCCACAGGCATGCCAGAACGGCGCGTCGTGCGTGAATGGTCCCGCTGAAGAGGTGATCTGCATCTGCCTGGAGGGATACAGTGGCGCAGACTGCTCGTTTGACATTGCTGACCCATGCCTGAACTCGACCTGTCCAGACAATTCCACGTGTGAATGGATCCAAGGCGAGCAACACCGCTGTCACTGTCCACCCGGAGATGTTGACCCGTTGTGCTATACACGACCGTGTGTGAAATTCCCTGACGCATGTCGTAACGGAGCGGAGTGCGTCGACGGACCTCAAGACGAGGTAGTTTGCCTCTGCTTGGACGGATTCAGCGGTGCAGACTGCTCATTCGACGTCAACGATCCGTGCCTCTCTGCACCATGTCCCACGAACTCTACTTGTGCATGGCAGAAAGCTGATCTGTACCAGTGCATGTGCCCGCCGAACTCTACCGACCCGGCATGCTATAAACCGCCGTGTGTTAGATATCCGGACGCGTGTCGTAACGGGGCCGAATGCGTTAACACTCCAGATGAGGGTATTGCGTGCGTCTGCCTGGACGGCTTTAGCGGCGTTGACTGCTCTTGGGACCTGAACGATGCGTGCACGCTAGCACCCTGCCCGACGAACGCGACGTGCGTTGCTATCGGTCACAACGAGACCGAGTGCCATTGCCCGCCGGAGGTGCGCGATCCGCTCTGCTACGTTCCTCCGTGCGTGTCCAACCCGCCGCCGTGCCAGAACGGAGGCGAGTGCGTAACCGTCGACAACATGGCGTTCTGCGGCTGCCTGGACGGTTACCACGGTGATCTGTGTCAGCACGCGGTGGGTGATCCGTGTTACAGTTCACCATGCCCGTTGGATGCGACGTGCATACAGGACATAGCAATGCCCGATCAGTACCGCTGTATATGCCCGGAAGGCAGTAAAGATCCGGACTGCTACAAGCCACCCTGTGAGGCCAACCCGGGAATTTGCCAGAATGGTGCTCGCTGCGAGAACGGGGCAAACGCAACGGATTTCACGTGCGTCTGCTTGGACGGCTATCAGGGAGATTTGTGCGACATGTACGTGAGAAATCCGTGTCAGAGCGGGCCCTGTCCACCGCATGCATCCTGCGTGGGCAACATGACATCCTACCTGTGTCTGTGTCCACCAGACCTGGTCGATCCCACCTGCTACAATGTACCGTGTGTTGAGAACCCCGCTGTCTGTCGCCACGGCGGGAAATGCGGAGAGGTTCCGTCCGGTCGCACGGCGTGTATCTGTCTAGACGGCTGGACGGGACTGCACTGTCAACATAACGTGGTGTCACCACCGATTCTTTCACCATGTATTGACTCCGACCCATGCCAGAATGGTGGCATCTGCCGGCCAGGCACGAACGCCACGCTGGGAATGGTATGCGAGTGTCCGCCAGAATTCTCTGGTGTGACGTGCGAGCTCATCGCCCCACCACAGCACCAAGATCTGTGCTTGACTGACCCGCAAACCTGCCACCCCACCGGCGACTGTAGAAATATCCTGGCTAACAACTCCCATGCGTGCGATTGTCTCGAGGGCTTCTACGGATCAAGCTGTGAGGTGATCACGCTGGCAACTGGCGGAACTGGAACGCAGGATGCGTGTCTCCCTAACCCGTGCTGGGGCGATGGACAGTGCATACCACAAGCCAACGGCGGATATCGCTGTGAATGTCCACCGGGGTGGAGCGGCCCACACTGTGAAAACGGTGGATCGTGTGCCGACCCGAACGCCTGTCGTAACGGTGGAGAGTGTATCAGTGATGGTGTTAACTACATTTGTGATTGTGTACCCGGTTACAGTGGCGACCGATGTGAGGTGGTCGTCCTCGGCGACGGGGCAGTGCGTGCGGGATTCAATCCCTGCGCCCAGAATCCCTGCCATGGCAACGCGACGTGTCGTTCCCACGGTTACGGATTTGAATGTGAGTGCCCGACCGGCATGTCCGGGGGGCTGTGCAGTGCCAAGGGTGATGCACCGTGTCGTGTGAATCCGTGCTACAATGATGGGCGATGCATTCCGGACTTGGCCAATCGCTATGTCTGTGAGTGCGTACCTGGGTATACCGGTGAGACGTGTGATGTCATTCTGCCGGGTCACTATCCACATAACTGGCCTACGCTCCTCTCCGCGGGCGGAGGCGCCAACCCAGAGCTGCCACAGCCGTCACCTGGTCCTGGCATCGATGCCGGGCTGAATCCCCCGGTACAGTACGGCCCGGGTCCACATTTGCCCCAGGGACCTGGTGTACAAATACCCTATGATATGCCCGGTCCCCGTAACGGTGCTCGACCTCCATCTGATCCGCTTTCGCCGGCCTTGCCAGATACCGGGCGAGGCGGTGGGCTGACAGTTCAGTCACCGTGCACGCCAACGAACAGACCCTGCGGCAACAGTGGCAAGTGTGTGGATCAGGGTATTGGATATACGTGTGACTGCCCAATCACTTTCAGTGGATCACAGTGTCTCGGTGGCACTGGCGGTCAATGCGGTGGACGCGCATGTCTCAACGGTGGCAAGTGCATCTACAGTCATCTGAACGGCGGTCATCAATGCAGCTGTCCACGTGGCCTGGGAGGTGCAGGCTGCGAGATCAACATCGTAATGAACGGACATGCTGTAACTTCTGCAAATCCGTGTGATCGATCGCCGTGCAACGGAGGCGTGTGTTCACCTGTGGTGGGTGGCTATATCTGCCAGTGTGTGGCGCCATTCTCCGGTTCACGCTGCGAGAACCATCAGCCTCCGCATGGCCCTACAAACAACGCGCAGTTCGGTGTACCACCGGCTGCAACCAATCCTGACCTGCCTCCCAACTCACCAGCCGTGCCAGGAGATCCAAACCCGGCAGTTCCCGCACCGTCTAATCCCAACAGCATCAACAACATGCCCCACAATGGTGAGCCGTTGACTGGGAAACCCACCGGTGGTGGTCTAAACCCGTCGCCCATCTTCAAACCTCCGTTTGGACCTGAAGACAAGATCCGTCCGCCGGTCCAGCTGCGCCCGGATCCCCTGGGCAACCCAGCACCCCTGTACACCCCGGACTATCCCCGGATGGGCATTTACGCGGGTAGCGCCCCGGGTGGAGCAGGAGCAGGCCTGGACGGTTCTCGCACTGGCAACATACCCGGCTTTGGCCAGCAGGGCCCAGGAGCAGTGGCAGGTGGAGGTGGTGCCGGAGTACCGTTGCAAGGTGGAGGCATGCCTGGTTTCGCAGGTGGCGACGCCGCTCAAAACAATCCGGGACGGTCGGGCGCCAACGGGCCAAACAACCCGCCTCCGGGCACGCCCCAGACCGGTCAGAATGTTGGAGGTCGTGGCAGTCAGGTACCAGTGGCGGGTGGAGTGTCTGGCGGGCCGGGTGGTGGCATTCCCGGGCAGACTGGTGGACGTGACGGTGCAGGCACTCAGCAAGTGTACCCGGACAATGTACCCGGGGGTCGTGTCAGACCTGGCATAGGCGGTGGTGTTCCCACGAACATTGGCGTTGTTAACCCCCCTGCTGGTGGTGGTCCTGCTGCTAATCAACAACCGGCTCAGGGAGGTGGACCAGGTGATGTTATGAACACACCACCAAATGCCCAGCCAGCAGCTGGCCAAGGCAATGCAGGTACCCCTCCCAATGGTATTGCAGCAGCACCGGTCCCTAATGGGCAGGGAAACCCCGGCCAGGTTGCCCCGGGCAATACACCGGGAGGTCCCGGTAATCTACCTCCACCCGGTACCGGTGTACCCGATCCGGTCCAGTATCCCCCGGGACCGGGCACGATTGGGCAGGGCAACCCCGGTCAGGGCGCCCCGGGCAATACACCGGGTGGTCCAGGTAGTCAATCTCCACCTGGTACCGGTGTACCCGATCCGGTCCAATATCCCCCGGGACCGGGCACGATTGGGCAGGGCAACCCCGGTCAGGGCGCCCCAGGCAATACACCGGGAGGTCCAGGTAGTCTACCTCCACCTGGTACCGGTGTACCCGATCCAGTCCAATATCACCCGGGAACCGGCATGGTTGGTGGGAAGAATGGCGTCGTTGGACAGCCGAATCACAGAGCTGGCAACAAGGATGGCTTCACCAGTCCTGGCTCACCAATACCACCCGCCGTGGGTGGTGGTTTGGCAAACGGTAACCCAGCAGCAGGCGGAGTTTCACCCAATCCTGGCGCTCTTCCTCCTCCCCCTCCGCAGCAAGGTACAGGCCAGGGTGCTGGCGGAGTTGATGGCAGCGTTGGTGGTGGAGGTGCCCCTCCAGGTGGTGGCGGAGGGCAGCCAGGCGGCTTTGCAGACGGTGGTGGTGGTCCCGGCGTACCGAATAATCAAATTGCCGGTACTCCGGGAGTTGGCGGAGGTCATCCTCAGCAAGACGGAAGCCGTGGCACCGTCGGGCAGCAACCACCGATGGACATGCTACCTCCATTGATCCACATGCCCTCTGGGGGCAGCTCTAAACCAGTGGGTTTGGACAGTGGTGGCTTACTATCAGCAGGACATCCTGGTGGTCAAACTGCAGCTGGTGGTGAAGGACGGGCAGTGGACATTCTTGCCGGTGGTGGACAGCCGGTGGCTGGAGCGCCGTCTCATGGCGGGGTTGGTGACGGAGTACCTGCTGCTGCTGCTGCAGCTGCTGCCAATGGTCCTGGTCTTACTCCGCCCAGTGCTGGAAACCCACCGGCCGGCCAAAGCGGTCGGGATGGTGGAACACAGGCACAACGTCCGGCTGGAAGTGCTCCCGCCAACCCTGATGGTGCCGCTGCCGGAGGGAGTAGCGCACCCGAGTTCAGCAAGCAGGTCCCACCCGGTCCAGGGGTACAACAACCCAGCACTGGTAGCAATCCAATATTCACCGGACCCAGAGACAATGGGGGTAAACCCGGGGTGCGCGTTTCCAACGGCATCGGTGTTGGATCCCCGGCAGGAGTACCTGGCAATGGCAAACCACAAGGAAACAACTTAGTGGCAGGAAAAGCAATTGCTGGAGCACCGACTGAAGCACGCCAAAACTCACCTGGACAGCCCTCCGGAGGAGTTTCCGTTCCTGATCCTGCCCTCGGAGCAAGTGCTGGTATTCCGGGTGGCAGCACACCTACGACTGTCAAGTCACCATTGTCTGGAGGCGGTGCTGCTGCTGCTGCTGCTGCAGCCTCGCCGAATGATCTACGCAACGTCGTCAGCGACGTCGGAACCGCGGGCGGTCAGATTGGCCAAGCTGCTGGTTTGGCGAGCTCTGGAGGCCCTACGGGATCCAATAGTCAACGGTTTGCTGCTGGTGGTGGCGGTATTGCTGGACAGCCTTCCTTTACCGGTACGCCAACCAACAATGCCGGCAAATCATTAGATGCTGCTGTGCCCGGTCAACCCAATCCTGCCATAGGCGCTGGTAACGGCCAGACAAATCTTCCCCAGGGTTCTCCTGGAGCGGGTAATAACAATGTCCCCATCTCTCCAGGTACGGGAATACCACAGCAATCTGCTGGAGGTAGAGCTGGCGCTGCAGGGGATTTCCCCAGTCCCGGAGGTCAAGGGCCTGGCCAGTCAGCACTATCAGGTGTACAGGATGCTCTTCCCTTACTCAATGCTGCTCCGGACTTTGGTGGTGGTATTGGTGGCGGAGCACTGTTTCCCTCACCGGGTCAACCTCCTGTTGATAACCGACAGCCGGCTGGTTTTATGCCAGGTATGGACGGCAATTTCCCAGCGCAGAACATGCCGGGTGCGGGCATTGCCGCAGCATCTCCTGATATTGCTGCAGGAAATGGTGGAGGTGCTGGTGGTAGTCCTGCTGGTGCAGCTGGCATTGGTGGTGCTACTGCTGGTGGTGCCGGTGCTGGTGCTGCTGCTGGTGCTGCTGGGGCTGGTGCTGCTGCTGCTGCTGCTGGGGCTGGCACTTCTGGCATTGCTGGTGCTGGTGCTGGAGGCGCTGCTGGTGGTGCTGCTGGTGGTGCTGCTGGTGCTGCTGGCGGTGCTGGTGGTGCTGGTGCTGCTGCTGGCGGTGCTGCTGGTGCTGCTGGTGCTGCTGCTGGTGCAGGTGGTGCTGCTGGTGGTTCTGCTGGCGGTACTGCTGGTGCTGCTGGCGGTGCTGCTGGTGCTGCTGGCGGTGCTGCTGGTGCTGGTGCTGCTGGCGGTGCTGCTGGTGCTGGTGCTGGCGGTGCTGCTGCTGGTGCTGGTGCAGGTGGTCCTGCTGGTGGTTCTGCTGGCGGTGCTGCTGGTGCTGCTGCTGGTGGTGGTGGTGGTGCTGGCGGTGCTGCTGGTGCTGCTGGTGCTGATGCTGGCGGTGCTGCCGATAGCAATGCTGGAGCTTCATCTGCTGACCGAGCTGGTTCTTCATCCAGCGATACCAGCAATGGTGAATCTAATGACTGCCGCTTTGACCCGTGTCAAAATGGAGGGTGAGTTAGATGCATTTTTGGATGTGTGGATTTGGTCATGAGTTTGTGTGTACGTGTGTGTATGTGTGCATGTGTACATGCGTGAACGTATGTGTCTGCGAGTGCTTCCGTGCATGTATTCATGTGCATGTGAATGTGGGGAAAGGGGAGGGGGGGGGAGAGGGGTTATGAGTGCATGTGAATGTGGGGAAAGGGGAGGGGGGGGGGTTATGAGTGCATGTGAATGTGGGGAAAGGGGAGGGGGGGGGGGGGGGTTATGAGTGCATGTGAATGTGGGGAAAGGGGAGGGGGGGGGGGGGGTTATGAGTGCATGTGAATGTGGGGAAAGGGGAGGGGGGTTATGAGTGCATGTGAGCAGGTGTGCTAGGATGCATGCTAGTTGTTAGACATATGTTCAGCCATTGGCTAGTATGTCTTGTTCCACAACCACATTATAAATTTTACTTCCCAGGATGTAGCAGCATGTTCAGTTTACTATGATTATATTGGGCACAGATAGACAATTCAACAGGACCTCCCAGTATGTTGGTCTCATTACATCCCCCTGTGTATTTGTCTCAATATTGCATTTAGGGTGTATTTGTTGGGCTTCTGTATAGTCATGTGTTTATACTGACGATGTGCGTATATCTATACCTGTGGTTTGTGTGTGTTTGTGTTTGTGTGTGTGTGTATGTATGTGTATGTATGTGCATGTGTGTGTGTGTGCGTATGTATGTGTATGTATGTGTGTGTGTGTGTCTGTGTGTGTCTGTGTGTCTGTGTTTTCTCATACATGTGCTGAACACACAGACTTTGCAAGGCTGACAGTGACGACGATGACATCACATTCAAATGCCATTGCTACGGTAGCTGGCAAGGTGCAACATGTACCGGTAAGAAGTAGGATGAGTAAAGGGAAGTGTTAAATCCAACCAGTAATGTACCTCACCATACACTTGTATTCGCGAGCGCAGGTTTTTGGAATGTAGGCGAAAGCGGGAACCACCCTGCTCGACTGGAGTCTGACCTTATTGGGGGTCTGATTATTCCTGCAATCAAGTCAGTTTAGCCTAGAAGCTGGTCAGATCGCCCTTGCAAAACGTCGGAGACTGTCTAGAAATGCCCTGTGCGACCGTCTCCTTTGGTTTGGGACATTGCAAGTTACTCGCACATTCCAGTCGCGTTCTTCTTGTCCATATGTTGTTTGGAAGTCCTCTGAAAACTTTATTTGTTTGTTTTTAGGAATAACTGATCCGACATGCTGATGCTACAAATGACAATTATAGTAACCATACCACTTGTGTATGCAGTATGATCAAGCAGTTTAAGTTGAGAAAGGGGTCTACATAATTATGTTCAATAGTAGGGCTTGTCACCCCGAGATTGCTTGGGAATTAACAGCTGGGTGCTGATGTGCTTCTTCATGTGTTTGTGTTGTCTGTATGCGTGCGTGCACAGACTGCCCATCTCCGTTTGTCATCGACGGTCAACAGTGCTCGCAGTCGTGTTCACTGCCAGGATATCGACCGGTCGGAGCACTGCCGGCGGTCTGCTATGGTAAGATAACCCATGCCAAGGACCTCGGGTCTGAGTTGTTGGCTTGCCTCACCAGTACAGATTCCTTCTAGGAGCTCGGCCTTCACTTCCTATTGTTGTGTTGTCCCGCTTCTTCTCTCTCTCTTCTTACGAGTATGTTGTCTCTTCAGTAAACTAAATGCCATGGTTACACACGGCTGCGAACAAGATTGCTGTGCCCATGATGTCAACGGTCACATATAATTATGTAGCCACATAAGCTATCCAGGCAATAGTTACATAGCCGGAAAAATCTTGCCTAGCCACTCCATGCAATGGTCTTACATGCAGTTGATAACAGACTCGCAGGATCACTGCATGCCATGGTATTACACCCCTGGTGGCAAGCTTACTCAGCCACTACATGCCATGGTATTACACCCCTGATAGCAAGCTTACGCAGTCACTCCATACAACGGTCTTACGCCCCTGATAGCAATCCTACACAGTCACTCCATGCCATGGTATTACACCCCGGATAGCAAACTTGCACAGCCACTCCATGCCATGGACTCGTAGTTGATAACATGCTTACACGGTCACCCCATGCAACTTTCATAAAGCTCATCGGAAGTATGCACTGTCCATGATGGCCACCCATCTGATAACATGCATGAATTGTTACTTACTATCACCTTGCCGCATAACCTGCACATCCTGAATTCAGTGGTGTGCACCCCACATGCTGGCAAAGAAGACTTTTTCTTAGTTGTCTCTGGCTGTAAAACCAGTAATGTGCATAACATGCATGAGCCACTTGCAGGGGCATCTGTTCACTATCCCGAATGTGTGTAGGCTTTGATAGCGTAAACACATGTCGTCGGTTTATTTTACAATAATTATCACTAATAGGAAGTTCTGTTCTGGACGGTGCGTGTGTGTGTGTGTATGTGTGTGTGTGTGTGTGTGTGTGTGTGTGTGTGTGTGTGTGTGTGTGTGTGTGTGTGTATGTCTGCATGTGTATACATTCCTTTGCGTGTACGTATGTGTGTTTGTGTTCCGTAAAATCACCTCTTGGCACCTCAGCATGCGGCATAGCTAACTGTGCAAGTTGCCGAAGTGGCAGATGCAAACGATGCAGACGTGGAACGTACCTCAACCATAACAGATGTACCGGTAAGCCATTGGTGTGTCTGTCACTACTACTGCTGCGGCTGCTGTTGCTGCTGCTGCTGATGCTGCTGATGCTGCTGCTGATACTGTTGCTGCTGCTGCTGCTGCTGCTGCTGCTGCTGCTGCTGCTGTTGAGAATACAGTACTGCCTTGCATGTGCCCAAGTGGAATACAAGATTACGTACATACACTCATGGTCGCAGTACACAATTGTACTGACTATCCCGACCCATGCATTCAATACACAATGCTACTGATCTTCCTTACTAATTAGCACATTGTACATTGCCAAATATGGACTGCACAAGTAATGCATGCGAGTACACTGGGATCAGAAGTGCACTGTTAAACACTCCACACGACCGTGCCCAGGTGGCTCTGTGGGGTGTTGGCTGTACAATTAATTACTTCATTGACCAATGAGCGTATACATTCATGCTCCATGTCCAGCACCCATCCGAGCATCGATGAGTGACACAACGCAAGCAAAGCAACGTGGCTTCTCCGCGGCCCTGCAGCGTATGGATGAGGAGGATATGGGCAACGTTAGCCAGCGCCGTGACACAAGAATCATCAACACCATTATGCCAGGTCAGCATACTGTATAAGATGTCATATTTTTAGGTGTAGTATCATTGCACAGCTCAATAGCACCTACACGCCCTTTGTAGTCTATGTTCTCTTTATGTTGTTGTTGTTGTTCTCTTCCATTCTATGATCTATGTAGGCATATGTGCACTTTCATAAAAATAAAAATAAAATACAAATTGCGGTGTCAGTGACCTGCCAGGCTTCCAGTGTAAAGTAGAATTCGGTAACCAACGTGCACTGCACATACAGCGCGCACCCAGTGTCGTTTATGTGTAATCTAAATTTTGATGCCTGGTTTCTCTACCGAAATTACCGAAATTTAACTTACACCGAAATAACGTGTTGTATAGTAGCTGAGGTTCTCCATCAGCAAGTGTCGATGGACTGAGGTACAATACTGCCGGTCACCGAAGAACCTGGGGGTCCGATGGCAGCCTCCTAGCCTAGAGTCTAGTAGACCCTTCTTATTTTTGTGTATTGCAGTCTATCCACAGTTGAATGTATCGTAGTCTATGCACAGTTGAGTGTATTTCAGTCTATGCACAGTTGAGTGTATTGCAGTCTATGCACAGTTGAGTGTATTGCAGTCTATGCCCAGTTGAGTATATTGCAGTCTATGCACAGTTGAGTGTATCGTAGTCTATGCACAGTTGAGTGTATTGCAGTCTATGCACAGTTGAGTGTATTGCAGTCTATGCACAGTTGAGTCACCATGTAAGTACGTGTTTCTGATTGTTGTTGTTGCTATGTGTGTTGTGTGTTGTGTGTTGTGTGTTGTGTGTGTGTGTGTTGCTATGTTTGTTCCTGTGTTTCACAGGTATTATGGTAAGCTTGGCCACCATTGCCTGCCTGGCACTGGTCATTGCCCTGGTATCGTTCCGTTACCAGCGCCGGCGGAGATTGCTGGCCGCGGTCTCCCGGCGCTACCGTTCCGGGGCCATACCGCGCCAGGACTTCAATGACCTCAGCTCCAATCATCCGTCACGCACGTCATCGCCTGCAGGTGATGTGATACGTAACTCCGACATACTGGATGAGGATGATGACTGCGATGATGACGTTGAAGATGGTGATATCAGTCAAGGAGCAAGGTAGGTCAGTAAAAGTGATAACGGGACATGGGAACACAGGCACGCCGGAAACCGGTGCAGTTGGTCAGGTTATCTCCAGACCAACTCGTTGTCCACCACCACATGTTTATGTGTACCCGCCATGGAGGTCATTTGTACCCGCCATGGAGGTCTTTGTACCCGCCATGGAGGTCATGTGTACCTGCCATGGAGGTCATGTGTACCCGCCATGGAGGTCATGTGTACCCGCCATGGAGGTCATGTGTACCCGCCATGGAGGTCATGTGTACCCGCCATGGAGGGCATGTGTACCCGCCATGGAGGTCATTTGTACCCGCCATGGAGGTCATTTGTACCCGCCATGGAGGTCATGTGTACCCGCCATGGAGGTCATGTGTACCCGCCATGGAGGTCATGTGTACCCGCCATGGAGGTCATGTGTACCCGCCATGGAGGTCATGTGTACCCGCCATGGAGGGCATGTGTACCCGCCATGGAGGTCATTTGTACCCGCCATGGAGGTCATGTGTACCCGCCATGGAGGTCATGTGTACCCGCCGTGGAGGTCATTTGTACCCGCCATGGAGGTCATTTGTGCCCGCCATGGAGGTCATTTGTACCCGCCATGGAGGTCATGTGTACCCGCCATGGAGGTCATGTGTACCCGCCATGGAGGTCATTTGTACCCGCCATGGAGGTCATTTGTACCCGCCACGGAGGTCATTTGTACCCGCCATGGAGGTCATTTGTACCCGCCATGGAGGTCATTTTTACCCGCCATGGAGGTCATTTGTACCCGCCATGGAGGTCATGTGTACCCACCATGGAGGTCATGTGTACCCGCCATGGAGGTAATGTGTTCCCGCCATGGAGGTCATGTGTACCCGCCATGGAGGTCATGTGTACCCGCCATGGTGGTCATTTGTACCCACCATGGAGGTCATTTGTACCCACCATGGAGGTCATTTGTACCCGCCATGGAGGTCATTTGTACCCGCCATGGAGGTCATTTGTACCCGCCATGGAAGTCTTTTGTACCCGCCATGGAGGTCATGTGTACCCGCCATGGAGGTCATGTGTACCCGCCATGGAGGTCATTTGTACCCGCCATGGAGGTCATTTGTACCCGCCATGGAGGTCATTTGTACCCGCCATGGAGGTCATTTGTACCCGCCATGGAGGTCATTTGTACCCGCCATGGAGGTCATTTGTACCCGCCGTGGCATACATAAAGTAGGAACAATACCAGACTAATCAAAAACTGCTTTCGGCCGTCCTGCAATATCATACTAAGATATCACAATAGCTTTCTCGTAAACTCTTTCCGTGTACACAGCCAGGATTGTGATCTGCCACCTAGGTGTGCTAGAGGCAGGTTTCATTGCCATATTACAAACTGAGCTCTATATCTGTCTCTCTGAATGTCTCTCTCTCTCTCACTCACTCACTCTCTCTCTCTCTCAATCTCTCTCGCTCTCTTTCTCTGTCTCTCTCCCTCTCTGTCTTTCTACTCTACTCTACTCTACTTTAAAACAATTGCTCTGCAGCACGATCCTCGGCGACACAACGCCACGCCGCGGACGCACGCCACTAGTACACTCGCCACCTGCGCCTCCACCACCGCCACCGCCACCACTACCTGAAACGTGGACGGATGAATGTTGATCTAGTCTCCTGCACGGAAATGAATGACCGCTCACAATACAATGGCAACAAACAATAGCACCCCGCCAACAACTATTATTATTATTTCATCTGGCAAGACTTGCGTTGGTCGAGTGTGAACTTACAGGACCTAGTCATTGTCAATGCAGGATATTCTAATTATTATCGTGAAATTTTGTAACCAAAGCCCATGAGGATATCCATAAGCACCTTGCTCTTGACCAAACTACAACTTGCTCCTGTACTACTGAACGAGTTGCAGGCGTTTGCACACATGTTGTCCTGTGAAGACCTGTACATGTACGCTAATATAAATTATTGTGTGTATGGCCATTCTGCACAGAAACCATAATTATGATAACTTACTATGCCACCATATCATCACCATTGGACTTCAACGGTGTTGGTGAGTGCGCAGTGTGTGTGTGGGGGGGGGGGGGGGGAGAGTGAATGTGCTGGTTGTGCTATTTTCGTAGGAAAAGTGGGGGTGGGATAGTGAGTGGACTGCATGTTTTGTGTTGGGGGGGGGGGGGGGGGGAAGGCGGCCTTGAAACAGAAGTACATGTACATATTAAAGGACAGATAACATTGACGCTGACTAAACAGCAAACCCAAGCCAGCAAGCTGTCTGCGAAGATTGAGTAAACCGAACTCTACTGTATAATTATAGCAAGAGTACTCTTGCAGCCAAGGAGAAGGGGAAGACCGAAATCAGCTTGCGTGGCATGTACAGCAGGTGCAGTGGACTGCACCCGCCGAAACGTGGTATACCACCTCGAGTGCCGTTGCGGTGATGACTATGTGGGTGAAACTGGCCGAAGCGTTGCGACAAGGTCAAGGGAGCACAACGATAATGCACGCAACGAGGTCCGAGGAAATGCGCTGGGTGAGCATTACCAGATCTTCCATGCCGATGAGCCATTGTCGCTGGGGCAGACCGGATTCGCCAACGTCTGTGTGCTTGCGACAGAGCCAGACCGGGCAAGGAGAAAGATTCGGGAAGCGATCAAGATCCGGGACATGGAGCCTAATATCAACACCAGCAGTGGTTGGGATCTCCTGTGAACTCTGTTTGCCTGGCTTTTTGATTGGAGTGATAGCTATCCATGTGAAACCTTAGCACCCACAAATTGTACGTATCACCACCCTAGACTTTTGCATTATGTTGGCACTGTCCACACTACTGTAGTCATGTGGCTGTTGCCGGGTTTTTTCTTCTCTCGACTGAGAGTGTCCCCCCCCCCCCCTCTCCCCCCCCCCCCCCCCCCCTCTCCCCCTGCTGTATTCCACAGGTTGTACATAATTATCACTGCCCTAGTCTCTGACACGGAGGACTTGCGCCCCTATTGTGATCATGTGGCATGTGTCATTTTTCGCTTGGGAGTTGTTGTTTTTTTTGTTTTGTTTTCCCCGCTGTATTCCGCACGCACCTAGCCAGCTTGTTGTTTTAAAGTCTGCCTTGCTTCCGTGTCTGCTTCATCCTGAAGATGGTCAGAGTGACCGAAACGTTGAGAAGAAAGAAGAATTGTTCAGCTGTGTGAAGAAGCAGTGCATCTGAGTGTTGGCCAGTGTTGCCACAATACAAGTTGCTATAATGAAGCTGCGTGAAGCGTCGTTCCGAATTTATAAGAGTACTCTTGATTATAACTATGATGCTTGCCGTGCTCTGTTGCTCGCTTGTATTGTGAACAACGCAACAGTGGGTACTAGTACTAGTACTAGTAGTACTGGATCTGATCATCACAAGTACAGTGGACACTAGGCCAATGACCAGGTCACGTACATGTATTACTATTACTATTAGCCTCTGAAAGATGGATAGGATACCGGCGTCATGATGTTTGATAATCTGCTGAGTTTTCAGCCGGACGTTTGACATTAGAAATTCTCGTGATGAGCTGCGACATATCCAGTGTGCATGCAGTAATCCACACACTCATAGCCATGCATCCCTGCCTACATCCACACACTCACAGCCATCCACTGCATTGAGTGATCACCACTCACAGCCATCCACTGCATTGAGTGATCACCACTCACAGCCATCCACTGCATATAGTGATCACCACTCACAGCCAAGGCCCATCCACTGCATAGAGTGATCCACACTGACTCACGGCCGTCCACTGCATAGAGTGATCCATACACTCACTCACAGCCATCCACCGCATACAGTGATCCACACTGACTCACAGCCATCCACCGCATACAGTGATCCACACTGACTCACAGCCATCCACGGCATACAGTGATCCACACTGACTCACAGCCATCCACCGCATACAGTGATGCACACACTGACTCATAAGCACAGTGATCCACGTGTTTGCAACCATCCACAGGAAACACAGCACCACATGCATGGATTAGTACATAATAATTATTATACTATTTACTAACAGTTGACATCACTTGCTAGTTAGTACAACCAAGAGTACATGATTGTGTACAGTGGTAGCAGCAGCAGCAGCAGACCCAGAAATGCAAAACATAACAATCAACCAGACCAGAAAAGAGGTGTCTACTGAGAATAGAGAAGTCTGCATAGCCTCATGCTGACCGGCTCAAACAGGTAATGGACAAGAATGGTGGCATCAGACAATAGCACTGTAAACCAGAATGTTGATGACCCTGACCTTCCAAGGGCCGCGCACAGGAGTGAGAAAGAGAGGAGATCATCCGAACCACTCACGATTCCACTGGTTTTTGATAATTATGCTACAATACGTGTGGGAGCAACAGAGCAATTTCCATGGAAATGATAATATAAAACTTTCTTTTAAAATTTCTTTCCAGACGTGGTGAGAAATTGACTATTCCGCACTATAGTCTAATTATGGTTACAGCATGAGCGGTATTATAAAGACGCAGTGAAGCCCTTTACTTGTGGCTAGTGGATGGCAGGCGAAGGCAGCGCATTTTAAATTAAACAAATTACATTATACTCATGGCAAGCAGCGTGGAAAGCAGCTGCTCTGGTGTCTTCCCAATCTCCGGCCTTGGCTGGCAAACAGACGAGCCTCCGCATAAAAGGCGGGTGTTGAATTTATTTAATTAAAAGGTCACAGTGCTGGCATTATGGTAAGCATCAATTCCTGCTTTCAGCGCTATCCTATATTTACCTATACTGCACGGATTGGTCTGAGGGCAGTGGCTGGCTTGATTCCCATACTCCTGCCACCGCACACTCTGACCAGTGTCCGGGTGTCAGTGTTGTGTGGCACAGTGCTTACACATCCGCCTTCTTGCCCTTCTTCTTACGCAGACTCATCTTGCTGACAATGCGATACTCGGCCTGCTTGATCAGTGACGTGTTCTCAGTCTTCTCAAGGTTCGTGGTCAGGGCGTACGGGTTTTCGCGCTCGATGGCTTCAGCCGCCGTTATTCCCGGCTCCGTCTTCTGCGCGGCGCTGATGAAGACGGATCTTGCGGCTGCCGTGGGAATAATACAATGCAGGTCGTCATCATCCTCCAAGTCTTCGTCCATCATGTCGATGGACTCACGTTGCTCCTTCTGTCCTTTCTTGCCCGTCTTGTCCTTGGGCTGGGCTGCAACCACGTCGTCGTAGCCCGCAGGCCAGAAACGATCGCTCCTGGCCTTCTTCTCCGCGGAAGGAGCGGCGATATTCGCAGCACTCTCGTATTCCGCCAACCGTGCATTCCCAGGAAGAGAGGCACCAGCAGCAATTGGGAAGGCTAGAGTGTCATCGTACGCGTCGGCCGCGTCACCACTGCTGGCTGGAATGAAGGACGGTACGCCATTGTTCGGCATACCATACTCAAAGCCGTTGTCTTCGCTGCTGGCACGCTTCCCCAGTATTCCACGGCCGAAGACATCGGCGGCTGACTCCGATTTGCGAATCTCAGCCTCCTGCGCATTGGGCATGAAGCGTTTCAACATATCTGCCGGGAACATCTCATAATCACCCTCCTCTTCGTTCTCATTATCAGCATTGGATCCCGGCTGGCGGAGACGATCCTCACTGAATACATCGTAACGCTCTACCAGAATGTCGTCAACAATGCTGTCTACTGAACCAGCCGTAGCAATGCTGGGCTTGCTAGATATGTCATTGATTGACTTTACTCGTCGCACCTGCTTACGCTCCGACTTCCTCAGATGAGCGATTCTCTTGTTGGTGAAGTGGCTTCCAGCGTCTGCCTCCTCCGCCATGTGGCCATGCAGGTCAACGTCATTAACGGTGTCATTGAACGTAAACATAGCGTGGTCGGCCCGGCCTAGGCCACCGTCGGGACCCATGGCATTGCACTCGCTACTGTCACTGTCACTACCCGCCATGGCACTGTGTGAGACTGGCGCCACCTTATGACTGCCTACCCCGCCTCCGTTCTTGCGCGAAGAGATCACACGCTTGAACTGCTGGAGCTTGGACCGGTCCTCCACCGTAGGTGCATCCGTGTTTGGGAACAGAATGTAGTCATCACCTCCCTCGTCATAGTCAGCTTGCCATTCACGAAGGTCCTTCTGTGCGGGCTGCTTGGGGCCCTTACCTTTTCGTTTGCCAAGGATTGAACGCTTTGACCTGGAATCTCGCGAGATATCTTTACCAGTTGCGGACCCTCCTTGCCAACGTTCCTCCGTCAGGTCAGCCAGGACTTCATCAAGTACCTGGAGTGTCTCGCCATTTGCCTCTGGTAGACCTCCATCGTCCCTGGTGATGTGACCGTTTTCTCCTAGCTCGTGCCAGAGGCCAGCCTCTTCGTAAGTAACGCTGGGACGGCCATTATTTTGCCGATCGTTCTGGTAATGCGCCGCTTGAGTTCTGTCAAAGCTTTGCCGTTGCGGCTGTTGTTGATCGACTGCCGTGTTGTCAGCATCCAGATCAGTAGGCTCTGAAGTTGGAGGATTCCACACGAGTGGCTCGTTGCTGGTATTGTTTTTATCCTCATTGCCAGTAGTGGTCTGCTTTGTTGGCATGTTGCTGCTTCTGTTGTTTTTGCTGCTGCTGTTGTTGTTGGTGTTGGCATCGGTATTGTTAGCCACTGCTGTTGGCTTGGGATCTATTCCACAGATCGGTGGTGCTTCCAGGATTGAGCTAGGTTGTACGCTCGAGCTGGTGTTGCCATCGCTTGTCCTGCTTTGTTTGTCGTGCTGCCCGTCAGTGCCTGTTTGAGCAGTGGATGAGGCAGCAGCGGCAGTGATCGAGTGAGTGGGCGTGCGTATGTGCACATAGCGATTCGAATAAGTGGAGCTCGTTCCGTGCGTGGCGGGAGCAGAGTCGGCATCGTTCTCCAGGGCGGACAGCGGTCGTCCTGGCAATACGGATCTTTTCGGATTCCGTGCCCCAGTTTTCCGCTGTTGCTGCTCAGCTGTTGCTGCTGCTGCTGCTGCTGCGGCGGCGGTGGGGGTGGAGGGCATGACGGGTTGCAGAGCACCATTCGGCCCTGGAGCAAACTGAACGTACTCGTCAGGAGACTGGATAAGAGTACTGTCACCTGGCAGATCTTCGTTACGCTTTTTACGTAGTCTACTGGCTAGTGGGTTGGCATTCGAGTAGGGAGAGTCTGGATCGGGTGCAGACACTGTATGATCGTACGGGTCACTGTAGGGTTTCTCGTTGTCGCTCATACCGACAAAGTCTGCACCGTGGCTCATGAAATCCTCTACCTGGGTACCAGGAGCTGGCTGATGAGCGCCTGGTAGCAAGGTGAGGCGGCTGTGAGCAGGCGGGTTGGAGTGACACTCGTTCCTTGGATTGGACGGCCAATCCGGGCCTTGTGAGGACTTTGGCGCCTGGAAGTCTAAATAGTTGTTCTTCACGCTCGTGTACACATACTCTTTGCCGTCACTGCCGAATGCAGGCACGGAGTCGGCGTCTAGTCCACGATCGTCTCCCGCATTGGTGTAGTGTGGGTTGGGAATACGCTTCTTGTGCACACAGGCATAGGCACCCTCATTGATCTCCTTCCGCGTGTCCGGATCGGCAAAGCAGTCCTGGCAGATCCAGGTTTGTGACAGTTCATCATAGAGTGCGGCGAGATGATCACAACCAGACGCCGTGCTGTATGTGTTGCTGTCAGTGAGAGATGGCTGAGGACTCACGGAGCCACCAGTGTGTGGACGCTGGAAGAGGTCGTAGTCCGCAATGTCCGTGCTGGACTCTCTGGGGTCGGCACCGTGGAGCATATCAAGGACATCGCCATAGTCCGAGTACTCTTCTGCTTCAAAACCTGACACCGGGTCATATTCCTCCATAGTAGAGAATGTGTCCGAACGCATTCCATCCATGCCCAGACTAAACTGCCCCTCCCCCTCATTGTCCAGGGTACTAGCTACATCTCGGTCATCATCAATGGCATCCTCAGTGGTGCTTGTGTTGTTGTTGCTGCCGGATCGCATCATGTTGAGGAAGGCAGCTGCCTTGCGCAGTGTATTCTGGTCCTTCTTGCGAGGCTTACCCTTGTTTCCTTGGCTGCTGGCGCCGGTGGGCTTGGAGGCCAGTCCATTTCCATCGCGTGCATCAGCAGTTGGGTCGGCCTCCACATCGCCCAGATCCAGCTCGGATGAGCAGCTTGCAGTCCGCTGAGTGAGGCGAGGCCTGGCGTTCTCGTAGCAGTTGGCTGCGTATCTTGCCAATTTGTGACCGGTACGGTTTTCAGGAGACTGACTGCTCACTGACGAGCTCTCTCTGTCATCGATTGCAGTTCTACGCTCATCAGTAGCGTCCGGGTCAGTGTCTGCCATTGAGTTGGGGTCGGGGCTACCAAACAGGTCGTTCATTTCGTGTCGCATGCCGTCATCAAAGTACTCATTTTCCCGGTCTGTCTTGTCGCTGTGAAGAGTGAGTGTACAGGCAAAGAGCAGACAAAACATCAGATCAACCAATTACACACATGTAGACAGCGGCCTAGGCGTGCTCTGTACAATTCTTTGTATAATAATGATAAGAAGAAGAAGAATCTTATAGAAAAGAAACAGGACCAAGGAACTACAAGTCATGCTATAATGTCCACTAACACCACCAGTTACTAAACAATCAGCTCATGCGATAACATTGCACGACATTGAATGACGGTACTGCCATTCTACATCTAACTGGCTATCCAGCTTATCCTTGGCTCTCCACCCAAAGAAGGAGAACCGCCCACATACTACTGAGAATTGAGCTCTACACATCCGTGAGTGAAAAGGTTCCATTCAGGTCTGTTTTTGTGCTAAGACAAAAGGCTTCAGGGACAGTGATGTTGGTTTTCTTCAGGTCCTGCTACAGCAATAGTTAACCAGTGTATCGCACGTCCAAGGGACATGAACATCTCTACATAATAGCCGAGCTGTTCTCTATAGCCAAACTCAAATGAATAGAAGAATATGTACGTGGTTGCCGACGACGACGACGTGCTTTAAAACAAAATGCATCGAAATGAACATTACATCCAGCATGTCTTACGCTGAACAATTTCCCCGTACACACACACACACACACACACACACACACACACACACACACATGCACTCGCGTGCCTCAGACCTCAGACCTGCCCATCGCAGAAGCGATGATTGCGATAGACATAGCAACTTGTGCTGGGATTACACCATTCAACAGCTTGCAAGGCTGATGAATTGACCACCACTAATTTCAGCATGCAGATACACACAACACACACAATACACACAATACACACACACACACACACACACACACACACACACACACACACACACACACACACACACATAGACACAGACATACACAAACACACACACACACACACACAGACATAGACACAGACATACACAAACACACAAACACACACACACATACACACACATATACACACACAAACACACACACACACACATACACGTACACACAATACACACAATACACACACACACACGCACACACACACATACACACACGCACACAATATACACACAGGCACACAAATACACACACACACACACAAACACACACACACATGTGCTCATGCACAGAACCACCACCCACACCCACTAGCCCGCTCTCCCACCACATACGAAGCAAGCGCCAATGCGTTCCCCCTAAGCCGCACGCAATCACAAACAGCCAAAGAGAGTGAGATACGGCACTTACTTTCCAGTTTTGCGCGTCATAAGGTTGATGGCACGTTTTTCTTCGGCCCTCTTATTCATGCGCTGCTTGACGACCAGGGCAGCCACGGCTAGCAGCAGGACCGCCACGGCGCCAATGCTAGTGAGCACGACCCTGGAGCTGTTGTCAGTAGCAGAAGCAGGATTACCCTCCTCCTCGCCACCAGCAGTGCTAGATGTTGCAGGTGATGTATGCGGTGTGACTGCAATGACACAGGAGAAGACAGACAACACACATTATATTGGATACTGTTCCGGACGATGTCTGCGATGCCTGCGGTGTGACTGCAATCATACAGGAGAA